TGGCAGCAGGCCCTGAGCTGCCCTGGTACAGCTACACTACGCAGTGGCAAAGAGGAGCCTGGCTGTACCATGGGCTTGGGCAGTGTCTTTTAACACAAAGACTTCTGTGAGATGCAGGAATCTGAAGATTGTATTGAGTTTATCTCCATAAGTTAAATTCTCACATGGGATGTACAGATTAAAAAGGAACGTTAATTAAGTTGTTAAGATGATGTTTATTATGTACTCCCAAAAGGAAAATACTACTTGATACACTCCTTGGATCCTCATCCTATTCAGTAAGTCTCATTTACTGTTGTGTCACCGGTAAGGGATTTTTATCTCTTCTTCAGAGCTTTAAAGCAACAACAGAGCTCTGTACATGGCATACAGTACTGACCTCAGTGATTATGAGTGGCATGCTACTCAAACAATGACATCCTCATTTCACCCCATCTCTCCACTCTCCAACCTGCATTCCTCATTTCTGTCCTATATGCACTCATGTCAATAGAAGTTACACTTCCAAGGAAGAGAATGGGTCCCGATCCTCATTGTCATGCTATAAAAGTCACATGCATGTTCTCATACATTTTCTCTCTTTAAAATGTAAATGAAAAGTGATCTATGAACTTAAGAAATAAACAGCACATAAAAAATACAGTTATTTTACCTTTTTTTTTTCTGCATAGCTAATTCCCCATAAAAATGGGCATATTAATTTGTAGGTATTATTTTAGCATATATAAAAAATATAGACATTTTTCATATTCCGAAAAAATCTTAATGCTGTTCATGAATGGGGTTAAATCTTACTAAAGACTACAGCATGACAGCATTACCATTTTCACATGGTTGATGTTTCAAGAAATGTCCACTGCCAGTTCTTCCCATTGAATGTCTCTTTGACATTGAATTCCTGTGTCTGGACTCCTTACAAAAAAAAAAAAAAAAAAAAAAGTAATAATAAAATAAATACAGCTACACTAGCAAGTTCATATATTAAAAAGGATTGTGATAAACTGAGTGGTATAGCATTAGCTCAGTTACCTAACAGCAGTAAGAGATTACCACTTGCTAGTATCATCCTTTGCTCATGTATGTTGGCCTAAATCTCTCTGCCTTCTCCTTTCTCTAAAATCTGTATCTTGCATTGTGTCTTCCTAGAGTCTTTCTTACCTCTAGATCAGAAAGAATCATAGAATCATTAAGGTTGGAAAAGACCTCTACCATCATCAAGTTCAACCTCACCATACCCACTAACCATGTCCCTCAGTTCCTGAACATCTCTAAGGACCAGTGACTCCCTCACCTCCCTGGCCAGCCTGTTCCAGTGCCTCATTGCTCCTTCTGAGAAGAAATTTTTCGTAACATCCAACCTGAACCTCTCCTGGCACAACTTAAGGCCATTCCCTATTGTCCAATCGCTGTTACCTGGGAGAAGAGGCTGACCCCCACCTCACTACAACCTCTTTCAAGGTGATTGTGGAGAGTGATAAGGCCTACCCTGAGCCTCCTCTCCTCCAGATTGAACAATCCCAATTCCCTTAGCTTCTCCCTATACTGTCTTGTGCTCCAGACCCTTCACAGCTTCATTACCCTACTCTGGACATGCTCACTCCAGATTCTCAACATCTTTCTTGTAGACGGAACCAGTTTTCTTTTGCAAAATGAATTTATTAAGAACTACCTCTTTAAACCTGATAAGAATTTAATAAAAGGGAGAAAGAGATCAGGAGGAGATTTTGCTTAATCTTGTAGTCTCTTTTGTCCATGCACCGTCCTCCAATCCCTGTAGTTTCTGGAAATTACAGCATTCAGTAAAGGAAAACAATGATCTCTACTTTCTTGTCTCTTTCTGAACAGACCTACTGTGGTCTCTTTGGGTTGCTTCCAATGTAGATGACAGAGAAAATCTTCACAGTATGCAGGACAGATCTAGAATCCACTCTCAATTAGAGGTCTCCAAGATCCAACCTTCTTTTGATATTTCACATTACCAATATTTATATTGATAAACTTGACTTCCTGAAAAATGCTGTCGTCACAATTTTGTTCACAAGAGAGAAGCAGTCACCATCTTCTACTACCCAATTCATTTTTAATCGGTGCCATATTCTGGTGCTTTCCAAGTACATCTTCCAGCTCAATCCCTTCCAAAGGAACACTTGCCTTCTGGAGTCCACCTATGCCAAGATGTGAGCTAGTAGCAAGATCCTGCAAAGTCCACCCACCCCATCCCCTGCCCCTCTACCAGCTCAGCTGCCCAGGGCCCCATCCAACCTGGCCTTGAACACCTCCAGGGATGGGGCACCACAGCTTCTCTGGGCAGCTGTGCCAGCGCCTCACCGCCCTCTGAAGTAAGAATTTCCACCTAACATCTTACCTAAATCTCTCCTAACCGCACGTAAACTTCAGATAATAGCCCTCAACAGCTTTTTCCGTAACACAGTTCTGTGCTTGCCCCCTCCTTCCTCCCCTCCCTCCCGCCCCCCGACCCAGAGGCTGACCCCACATTCCCAGAGGGCGAACTGCTTTCCCGCGCCGCTGCTGCCACCTCGCGGCATGAGCTCTGTGGGCAGCGCTGAGCTCTGCTCTGTGTGACAGCGACAGGGCCCGGGGGAACGGCGTGGAGCTGTGTCAGGGGAGGGCAGATGGGGGTTAGGGAAAGGGTCTGCACCACAGGGCAGTGGGCACGGACTCCAGCGCAGGAGTTTTTGGACAACGCTCTAAGCCATAGAGTTTGATTTCAGGTGGTTCTATGTAGAGCACAGAGTTGGACGCAGCGATCTTATGGATTTTTTGCAACTCAGAGTATTCTAATATTACACGATTAAGCCCCTGTTAAGGTTAAAAAAAAAAATAAAATAAAATAAAATAAAATAACTGACATCATCCTTGGGCCATGGAATCCAGGAGGAATTTTGAATGCAATTCCCAAAAACATACCATGTGATTTACTGTTACAACTGGCTTAAGAGATGTTCTAAATAGGACATCTAGATGAGTTCCCACTTGTCTAATATCCATGTGGGTTAAATGTAGTCTGCAGGAACTTCAAAAATAGAACACAAAAGCACAAATGTTGTGTTCCTTAATACACTAGCCAATGTCTGCTTTTTCAGTAGCACCAAAACAAAAGCAAACTCAGAAGGCTAGGTTGAAAAAAAATATATATTTGAAGTTCAGTACGGAGATCATTCATAGTCTTAAGAAAATATATAGACCGTAGGTATGCAAACTTGAAGTAAACCTTATGTAAGAATGTCATTTAAAAATAATAATAATAAAGCTAATACCATGATAAAGAATCATTGGCTATACTAAGGGTAGCGAGAGAAGCAACAAAAAGGTTTTTTAAATAATTTGAGAACGGGGACTATACATCAAGGATGTGCTGCAGTTGGCAGGAAACTGTATCAGAGGTCATAGTCTGTTAGTACATACACAGACTTTATATCTCACAGTAGCCCAGCCAAAAATTGCCCTGGGCACAGAAATGCAAAGGAACAATTTTAATATTTGATTGATATTTTAATACATTTCTTAAGAGTTTTGCAATTTCAAGAAAAGCTACTTTCATCACAGAATCATAGAACGGCCTGGGTTGAAAAGAACCACAATGACCATCTAGTTTCCACCCCCTGCTATGTGCAGGGTCTCCAACCACTACACCAGGCTGCCCAGAGCCACATCCAGCCTGGCCTTGAATGCCTCCAGGGATGGGGCATCCACAGCCTCCTTGGGCAACCTGTTCCAATGCATCACCACCGTGTGTGTGAAAAACTTCCTCCTAATATCAACCTAAACCTCCCCTGGCTCAGTTTAAAACCATTCCCCCCTGTCCTATCACTATCCACTCATCATTCATCCCTTCTTCTACCTTCTGTCATATTTAGCATTTATTTACTTATTAGTTATTGCAGTTTCATTAGTCATTAGGTAAGACTGCCTTACTTAAATGTGTTTTACTGAACTGTTACCCTGTTATGCAAATGTGTAGCAACTGATTGCTGGGCAAGAGATGCAGTTAACAGTGAAATAAGTGGGATGAAATCCAGTGAAACTTCAAATAGTAATAAAATCTCTTCTGATTTGTAATAAAATCTCTTCTGATTTAATGAGAGAAGCTCTAATGAGCTATGGATGAAAATACAAAATGTCAGAAACTATCATCCAACAAAAACCGCCTGAGACATTTAATTGAAGCTACCTTATTTAAATATCAAAGAATGAAAATGCATAATAAATCTCACTACACTGGGGATGGAAATAATATAGTACATTGCTGGTACTGTTCTGGAAAATGATCTTTAGAAGTGATATTAATTGCTGTTATACAGACGACAATTAATAACCACAAAGAACTTTTCGGCATATTCATTCTGCTATTCTTGTACTGGTAAAGCAACGTTAATTATTCAGTGAGATATTGAATGGGGAGTCTTTTGAACAGTAAAGACAAAAGATAATCTAATTCCAGTTCTGACAGAAAATCAAAATTAGAAAGTAAGAATCTTTTATAACCTTTTATGGGCTTCTGGGAGGGTTCTTTTTGCAGATTTTTTTGTTTGTTTTTAAGACATTTGTCTCAACTTTCTAATGCAATAGGCAAGGAAGTCAGTGGAATTTCATCAGGAATCTCCAGCAAGAAGCACACCGTGTCAGGAGTTATACATTCTTTCTTCATGTAAGACTAAACAAGGGCTGCTGAAATTATATCACATTAAAGAGGATGGCCAAACTGCACAAATCAGAGAGGACAACATCTGGACCCATAAAATTGTTCTTGAGATAAGGTAAGGACAAAGGTAATTTGCAAGGTAAGTTGTCACAAATTAAACTTTTTTTTTTTTAAGGTAAAATTAATGCCTAACAGTAGCAGAAAACTGAAATTCAAGTAAACTGAAATGTAAAATATTGGCTCTCTAAATCATCTATCCATGATTCAGACCTACAGAGCTCAAATGAATTAAACCAAAACATTTTTACACGTAGCACAAATAAGCCAAGCAAACAAAAAAACAACCAAAATCCACACTATTTTATTATGTACATTTAGAGGTTAAATTACAATGATAGAGTTTTTCCTTCTTCAGTTTCATCTTTTGCCTCATGACTTTCTGCTGCTGCTTTCACACTTTTTTCCTCAGTGACCTGCAGAAACATAACAACTTTGTTATTGTTTTTTAAACATGATCTAAGTTTGGATCCTGGAAATCCACCCCTCACATTGTCAGTCTAAAGACAAAGGACAGCATACACAGGAAAATGCTGTCTACAAAATTAAACAAGCTGAAAAAGAAGCATCTTCAAACTAATTTCATTAAAAAAATTCATGGGTTAGGCTCTGAGCCCTCCTTGGCTAACAAATTTCAGTAGGTATTTTTTCTTTTTTTTGCTATGAAAGTAAATAAAATAATTGTTCTGAAGACTCAAAAACTTCTGCTATGTAATTCTTATGATGATTTCCTAGGTTTAACCTAGGAAAGTCAATCTCTGGTTATATGCAAACTTAGATTTTGTTGATCCATTTATCCTAAAAACTTGCCTTTTTGCATTTATTCAGTCAGTGAAACTTTTAAACTTTCTTATATTTGAAAAATACTGATGTAGTCTCGAGTGATAATTAAAAATAGCTTAGAGAGACTTTTAAAAAAAACATCTGAGATTCTCCATAGCAGACAGTTTCAGTCATGAAAATCCAATATATCTTGCTCCAGTTTTTTGGAAAAGTAAAAAAAAAATACTGATTAAATAATGTTTTTATTGTTTTTTGTTGTTTTGTTTTTGTTTTTTTTTCTGAATGGTACAATGTATTTTAATAGCCAAACTTCAAAAACAATACCAGCACATTCTCTACTACAAAGCAACTAGATTTCACGAGCATTCAATTTTTCTTCACCCATTAGCATTTCCATTCTTAAAGATATATTTCTGACAATATTACGCATCTCTAATCATTCAAATATCACAGCATATTATCATACTTGGAAAGATGAATTTCACCACTGAGACTTACCAGCCTCTTTGATCTTTCCAGCAGTTTGTGCCACACAGTGTGATGAGCCTGTATTAAATGTTATTAAATGTTACCAGAAGTAGAAAAAGAATCTTACTACAGAGTAGATTCTGACAAGTATATAGAAATTATGGCATAAAAACATCTCAGTCCCTAATTTACACATTACAGCTTATTACTTTAGCGACCAATTTGCCCATATTCCTCTGATTAAAGAGGACTTAAATATCAGCTGTCTCCTACAAACTTTCCCAGTGGAGACAATAGCACATGTTCCAGACCATAGGCCAATATAACAGAAGTCAAAAGGAGGGGGAAGAAGGATTCCTGTCTTTAGCTATATTTTTTGCAGAGCCCTTCCTTAAAACAGATTAGTGCTAGGATTTGCTGTTTCAAGTTTTACTTTTTTATAAATGAGAGACATAGATGTAGTACCCTTCATCATGAGTGCAAATTCAAAGTTCTGCTCTTTCCTCAATCTGAATAAACATGTTGTGTGAGCTCACAACAATTCACTAAGGCAAGGCTAATGAAATAGCCATGCAGCAATTGCACAAATGAAACCACACTTTGAATACTGAGAGATAACACTAAGAGTATGCTTTTGCCAACTTTTCCAATTCTGATTCCACATTCACAATAGTTCCAAGGAATTTAACCTCAAACACCCACTGTCGTCATCATCCTGAGCCATCACTTTCTGCTACTCCTCTTGCCTCTGAATTATCACCAATATAAAATAAAGATCAGAAAATACACCAAATGCCCTAACTTTAAAAAGAGAAGCAAAAATGCAGAAAATGAAGGAAAAAAAAGCAGAAAAAATGTAGTTACCCTCAAATGGATTGGCAGGGACACGCCTTGGAACCTCCTTATTAATTCAGATTGACTAGTCTGAAGATTGTGAGCTGCTGTTATCTCATACTGGAAACAGAAACTTGTCCTTGGAATGTGAGGTCCTTCACTAACATCGACAAAGTCACCAAACCTGATGAAACCAAAGAAGAAAGAAAATCCGCTGTGACTAAAATATAATCAAAGAGAATTACAATCCTACTTGGTTTTGATTAGCAAAATCCTATCTACAGAACACATCAAAGAGGATGAAAGAAAATCCGCACAAATCCCAAACCAAATCTAAACACATTCCCAGTTTAGCATTACTAGGTTTCCTGCAGCAAAAGTACAGGTCACCCAGTTTCCTAAAATGACTTTAGAGAATTTATACCTCAAGTCCAAAAGATATCAAATTTTTGAAGCCATGCTGCCTTTAGCAGTGAGTTAAATTTGTCATTCAAACCAGAGAATGGAAAGAAGGATATTATAAAAAAACCTTGATAGAGTACAGACAGCAATTAAGAGTGATTTTTAAATTAAAATCTATAAGTAACTTATTTTTCTTACTTGCAGACATTACTTGCAATATAATTAAATCTTTCAGTGAAATATTACAAAAAGAGAATTTAGTTTTACTCACCTATGTAGTACTACAATTCCTTCCTTGTTCTGAGAAGCTTTCTGGTCTATTATCTCCATTTTATACCTGAACAAGAAAAAAAAATTCTTACCTTTAACACCAAGTTCTGAAAAGATTTGTTCAAGGACCATTTTTCTTTTATCATGATTGTATTATGAGAGCTTTAAACAGGATTTAAGCCCTTTATTTCACATGCCAATGCGTACTGGCATATTTCATAAAGCATATATATGTCTTAAGAGATCCATGCTCTCTCAAAAATTTTATTCAGAAAGATAAAATGAATCTACTACTTTATGTGAAAGGTTTTCAAGACACATAAGACCATGTCAACCATGACAGACCAGCAGACACTATCAGGTCACCTAAACAGGTCATATGCAACATCTGGTCCTCAACAACTGCTCATCTTCAAGACAGCAAAGTGGTCTCTCCTCACGCTAGGAACATATACAATGTCTAGTGCCATTAACAGAAGCCAGCTCCTACCAGCTCTAAATGGTTAGAAGCCAACCCAGTAAAGAGACACTTGCCTGTATGTCACATTAGTATAATTAAGCTAAAAATACTATTTATTTTTGCAATAAGTTTAGCTTTGAGCAAAATTTCAACTCACAAAATGACAAATTATGTATCATTTTCCCTACTTTTCTCCAACCACTGAAAAGATGCGGACCAGGTAATTTTTTTCCAAAACAGTAAGCGGTCTGTCATCTAAAAGAAATCCTTTAAACAGGCTTTCTTTTGTAGCACAGAGTATTTTGCCCATTTTCCCCCTGTAGAGCTCAAAAACCACATTTCATCAAATATTCATTTGAAGATACTGAGATATGAAAAATCTACATTTCTTTAAACATGAAAGCCTTTCAGCAAAGGCTTAAAGCAACAAGCAAACAAAAAGTCTAATCAGCAGAGTTCCAGTTCAAAGGTATGAAATCTTGAAGCTCAGTATTAAACTTAGAAGACCACAGTCTCCCATGTCTCACAAAACTATGTCCAGCAAACGTGCTGCCCTCTGGAGAGAATACTAACAATGAAATGAGCTAATGGGACAAAGACAATGGAAACATGTTGATACGCTTTCGCAGTAGTGAAAGATGTACCGTCTTACTTTACCTGTCACACCTTATTCTAGGGATTTAAGTGAATTAAGGCAAACTCATACACTTACTTGTTATTCTGAAACATTTCACGCGCTACTTTTGCTTCAACATGCAGTGTTTCAAATGGCAGGTCTTTATCAATTAGCTTACTGGCATCCCTTGTAAGAGAACGGAAATTGTCCTAAAAAGTAATTGATACATATAAATCTGTCGCCACTGTTCCATAGCTGTACTGAATAGAGCATAAGAAATGCTAAGTATTAGACAAAACAACTAACTAGATCCTAAGTATAAGACTATTGCAATAGGATTGTAATCCTTAGTAATTATCAGCAACTTAATGCTTAAGAACAAATCAATAGGCATTGTTCTATCAGAAAAAAATTTGTTGGGAGTTGCACTTCTCAGGTTTTCCTACTACAATGTATTCATATACAGTCTTGACACCATTGAAGATTTATCTGTGTACTCTGTTTCCCATAGTCACAATTCCAATTATAAACAATCTCCACTCTAGTGGAATCAAAAGAAAAAAATACCACATAAGTTAGAATTTCATCACCAAAGCTTTGCATACACAGATTTGTTGATAAATAAGAAATTGTTTTTAGGAGAAATTACATTTATTACATCATTCACAAAGTACTTCAGACTGTTATTTTAACTATAAGGCCATAATAAAGAAAAATTCTGCACTGTACTAACACTTAACACTTCTTTGTTAGCCACACACACATCTGCTGTTATTTTGGCAAGCAAACAGAACAGAGAAGTCAAACACTCATGACAACACCGGCTACCAAAGTTTGTAAATGGTTAGGTTTACTGAAGGGAATGAAATACAAGCTATTAAGTGTTTCAGCTGAATGTGCTCACAGCTCTTTTACAACAATAAACTGATTGTGCTGTACACCACTAGGTGAAAATACACAAATTACAGACACTTACTGTCAGAGGGTTCTATTCACACAAATGCTGTAAGCCCACTGTGGCACCTACACTACCAGATAAGGTTAGTTACGTAGGAGTGGAGCTGTATAGTAACAAAGATGGCACTGAGGTCCCAACAGCCAGACCAGCTGCTTTTGGAATTGTATTTCAGATTAAAGCTGAAACTTGTAAGTATCTGAAGGACTGCTCTGGATTTAAACACATCTGAAAGAAACTCAGTTTGTGTGCTGAGAGTTCTCTTCAGCGAGAGCCAGTATATGATAAATGCAGGTATGTAGCTTCTGAGGCATATTCCCAATGTAAAGTAAAACACTATGCAAAGGGGGGAAAAAAAAAAAACAGAGAACTCTACACCACTGCCCTCTTCCCCCACCAAAGAACCACTGGACAAGGATGGAAGTTACAAAACATTTTGGGCAAATTATTGCACTTACTTTTGTTGGTTTCCAGTCATTCAGTCTGTTGTCCAAAATTACATCGTAACAGAAAGCTCCAGAGATTACTGTAATTTCAAAGAGAAAATATTCATGTTTGTAATGAAAAATGCATTTCATTGCCATGCTATATTCTTACAAATACATCAAAATGAGTAAGAAAAACAGAAGAAAGTTTTTTATCATAAAATACAGGTTTTCAGCTGTGATCACACACTGCTTCTGATAATTATTTTCCCAGCGGAGCATCCAGGAGAACAGATTCCCTCATCTACTTCTCTCTCTCTCTGCCAATATCATGCTGAATAAGACTCCTGACATCTTCAAAGCTTAGACCAAACCCACTACTTCCTTATAAAAGTAATTTGGGTAGATGGCAAAGGAACTCAGGTTTAATCCTTAGTGTATCAACTGATACAGAAAAACAGTTTAAGAGGAGATAAGCTCCTGTCTTTTTTCCAGTCCACCTACTTCATTTCAGAGTAGCTACGTAACTTAGATGTTATGTAGAGTCAATACAGTTTAAAGCCCAACTACTTAACATAATCAAATACAAATTCTGGATCACCTCAACAACAAAAAAATAATAAGAAAAAACTAGTCATTCTATGGGATCTCTTATGACATTTATGTAAATTGGTTTCTTTTTAATACCAAATTTTGCAAAGTGTGTGATTACATTCTACCAAATACAAAGGCTCCATATAACACATACAAATGCTAAGTACATTCAATCATTGGAAAAGGAGCCTCTGATTTTCTTTTGTAACATTATTAGAACTCATTTAAGCAGAAAAAGACAAGACAATCAACTACAAAACATTTATTACTACCTGGCACTTCTGGAGCTTTAACCAGATTTACAGAGTACTCATCTTTGAACGCCCTCTTTAACACACTTGCCATGATCATGGCACAGGAACGCCAATAGGCCTGTAAGAATTTCAGAACACAATATATTACCATCAGCTATTTACACCAAAGAACACCAACATTTCACTGAATGAGGCACAAAACTCCACACCAACCCAAACACTACTTTCATTAGAATTTAAACTTCTGTTTGGTGATGATTAGAATATCCATCAAGAGAATCAAAATTAAAAATCAGGGATCCAATTAATGTTTATTAACACCTAAAGGAAGGTGAGAGGCAAATGGACAAGGCCAGGCTTTCCTCGGTGGTGTGCAGTGATAGGACAAGGAGAAATAGCCTTAAATCTTGAACAAAGGAAGTTCCATACTAACATGTGCAATAACTTCTTTACAGTAAGGGTGAGAGAGCACTGGAATAGGTAGCCCAGAGAGGCTGTGGAGTCTCCTTGTATGGAGATACTCAAAACCCATCTGAACACCTACCTGTGCAATCTATTGTAGAGAACTGGCTTTAACAGGGCGGTTGGACCCGATGAGGTCCCTTCCAACCTCTGCAATTCTGTGAAAAGGCAAGCTAGCTGTTTCTCTGGAGATATTTAAATCTCAAATTGAACAATCATACAATATAGGCTGAAAGGGATGCCTCCATATTACCTAGCCCACACTGTGCTCTAAATAACAATAACCATGATGTATCAATCATCAAAAATATCTATAAACTATCATGACAACGAAGTTCAAGGAACTAAAACAGGTGTACAGAATAAAATGGTTGTGATCAAGGTCATCTGCAATCAGTTAAGATGCAGACTTACCTTATTTACTTCCTCTGGATCTTCATCTTTGAAGGTGAGGAACTGAATTTCACAAGACTTGGTCAAGGGCCTATACATATCCCAGACTTCACCATCCACAAGAGCTAGAACAGATTTCTTGCAATGCCATTCACTTAAATCTAAAGAAAGTGAAAAACAAGTTACACAGTTATTAACATCATTCCTCAGAGCCAGAAGTTCAGACCTCTGCATTTCTAACAACACACTGCAAGTTTAACTACTCTAAAGTGACTTGGAAGGATGAAATATTAACAGAACCTACAAAAAAATCAACTCCATTTCTACTGATATATTTTACATCAGTAAAATATATTTCACATGAATCACTAGATTGGAAAGGGCCTTTAAAGGTCACCTAGTCACATATACATAGAATTATAGAATTTTTAGAATTGAAATGGACCTTTAAATATCATCTAGTCCAACCTCGCTACACGTAATCATCTAGTTTAATGTAAACACTGAGTTCACATTAAAAATATATTGTAAACTTAAATACAAATATTCTGAATACACATCCCTTACCAAGGTCATTAAAACACCACTAACATTAATGTTTCAAGTTTGGATGGCAAATACTTCCATTGGCAACTAATTTTCCCTATCAGTGACATGAGAAAAGAGTTCAAGTCATATGAGGAGCAGATGAGGGAACTGGGATTGTTGAGTCCGGAAAAGAAGAGGCTCAGAGGAGACCTTACTGCTCTCTACAACCACCTGAAAGGAGGTTTAGGTTGGGTATTAGGAAAAACTTCCTCTCACAAAGTGGTGAGGCAGTGGCACAGGCTGCCCAAGGATAAGGTGGAGTCACCATCCCTGGAGGTGTTCATGAATTGTTTGGACATGGCACTGATGGACGTGGTCAGTGGGCATGGTGGGGACAGGCTGATGGTTGGATTGGGTGATCTTAGAGGTCTTTTCCAACCTTATGATTCAATAATTCATGCAGTTTACAAACCCGCTGAAGAGTCCATTCACTTACGCATGGCACAGTTGTACGGTGTAGACAAAGCTTTGTTCATTACAAACACGCTGCCAGGGTGAGATTTTCCAGTGTATTTCACTTCAATTTTCTCAATTCGTGGATAAAGAGATAACTGCCTCTCCTTCTCTTTGGTAAAGAGTTCATTCCGCATCCGAATAACTTCATCTGATGTCAGTCGAGAAGCAGAGAGTGTAGAGTCGAACCCTGGTAAAAGACACGATCTAAAATTAGCGAAGAGATTTCAAAGCCTCTTTATACATCGGTTTCTACAGAAAGGGGGACAGGACATAGCACTGCTAGTCTTCCCTCAGACACACCAACAGTGCAGACAGCACCTGCCCCCGTGCCCAGCACCCGCTCCCCGCTAACGCCCCAACAACAACAAACGCCTCAGGGCCGCCCAGGGGGTCACCACTCCGCACGGCAGGCCCGGCCGCTGGAAGCAAAGACCGAAGGAAGTGCCGACCCGCCGCCCCGCGACTCCCCAGCCCCCGTCCCGCCGCCACTCACGGCGCCCTTCCCGCCCGCCCCGCAGGCAGCGGACGGCCCAGCACGCCGCCATGCTCCAACTCAGCCCCTGTGCATTCCTCACCCGGCTCGGCTGGAAACAATTGCAGCGGCAGCATGGTTCCCCCCGCCGCACCGCTATCTGCCGCCAGGCGGCTCTGTAGAACCTCGTCAGTCGTGGGCCGTCTGGATTCGTTTCAGTCCATCCGCAGTGTTCGCAGCGTTCCGGCATTCAGCCCTCCTCCGCCGTGCACGCGTGTCCTTACAGCAGGCGGTTACACCGCCCCCTAAACGGCAGATTGAGGATCTTGCGGAACGGATTGAAACAACTCGCTGCTGCGTTTACAGGGTTAATAGTCGAGGCCCAGCCCTCGGCTGGAAACGTCTGGTGAATTGTTCATTGCACTGACTAACAGCAAGAGGCCAACAGTGTGCAAAAGCAGCCAAGTTTGTTATTCCAACTTCATGCAGCAAATTACTGATTTGCAGTCAAAAACTCCTCTACCACTTCCGCTCTCAAAAAGATTTAAGCTAAGCACAAGCTAGCTACAACCCATGTAGTAAATTCATTCAGCAAAATTAAACGTGAAACGTGAGGGTTTGTACCCACGTTTTACATTTAGCTGGCAGCAATTGTGAGCCAGATCCCCCAATATCACAGACACAACCGTCACTAAGAACGTCAGTGTCAAAACAGTAACACACAAATAGTTCCATTAAAAGCAACCCAGCATCACAAAAAATGTGCTAATACTGACCATAGTCAGTAATATACAGGATTTTCCACTGCAGCTGCAGTCAGCCATGTCTAGATGAGCTGAGGGCTGTCGGCTCCTGCTGATGCAACACCTGGCACTGGAGCCCTGCTTACCTGGGCTGCCATCCAGAAACCCACATGTGAGGCTACAAGAGCTGTTCCTGTTCTTCATCACATTATTTGATAGACCAAGAATTTTGGCATGTTTTAATTATACTCCTTCCTCACATTTTAAAACCTCCTGGAAACTATGTTAAGGCACATGTAAGACAAGGAAGTGATCCAAGAGAGCCAGCACAGCTTCACCAAGAGCAAATCATACCTTTCCAGTCTTCAAAGGAGTGATGACATCAATAGACAGAGGAAGAGAAACTGATGTTATCTATATAGACTTCTGCAAGGTCTTTGACATGGTCCCACACCACATTCTCATCTCTAAATTAGAGAGATATGGATTTTAATAGTGGATGATTTGGTGGATAAGAAATTGGCTGGATGGCCGGAGGCAGAGGGTTGTGATCAATGGCTCTATGCCCACATAGAGACCAGTAGTGAGTGGTGTCTCCCAGAGGTCTGGCTTGGGACCAGTGCTCTTCAACATCTTTACCAATGTCATAGACAGTGGGATCAAGTGCATCCTCAGCAAGTTTGCTGATGACACAAAGCTGAGTGGTGCACTGGATATAATAGAAGGGATGCCATCCAGAGGAATCTGGACAGGCTTGAAGATTGAGCCCTTAAGAAGATGGCCAAGTGGAATCCTAAATATGCTTGCAGACAGGGAGAATAACTCACTGAGAGCAGCTCTGTGGAGATGATGGACAAAAAGCTGGACATGAGCCAGCAGAGTACATCTGCAGCCTGGAAGACCAACAGTATCCTGGGATGCATTAAAAGGGGTAGCCAGCAGGGAGATAGTGGGGATTGTTTCATTCTGCTCTGCCCTTGCGAGTCCCCATCTGGAGTACTGCAACTAGGCCTGGGGCCCCCCAGCACAGAAAAGATGCATAGCTGTTGGAGATGGTCCAGAGGGGGGCTACAGAGATGATCAGAGGGCTGGAGCACCTCTCCTATGAGGAAGGTTGAGGGAGCTGGGGTTGTTCTTCCTGGAGACGAGAAGGCTTTGGGAAGACCTCATTGCAGCCTTCCAGTACTTGAGGAGAGCTTACAAACAGGAGGGAGACCATCTTTTTACACAGCCAGATAGTGACAGGACAAGGGCAAATGGTTTTAAATTAAAAGAGGGGAAATTTAGATTAGATTTTAGGAGGAAATCATTTACTCAGAGGACAGTGAGGCACTGGCACAGGCTGGCCAGAGAAGCTGTGGTTCCCCATCCCTGGAGGTGTTCAAAGCCAGGTTGGATGGGGCCCTGGAGAGCCTGAGCTGGTGAGGGGCAGCTCTGCGCATGGAAACAGGTTGGAACTAGATGATCTTCAAGATCTTTTCTAACCCAATCCATTCTATGATAAAATGAGGTAAACAAGTCATTTTTTTAGTGCAGTCAGCATACCATAGGCAACATACTTGCATGTGTAAACAGTTCATAATCTTGAGGTGAAAGATCCTTAGAAAACACAAAGATGTTATTATCACTTATTAGAGCTGAACTATGACTGTTCTATTAACTTTCTATTTGATGACTTCACAGGTCATATGTGGTCACTGATTACATCACATAACCTTTTTATTTTAACTGGAAAAAAGTTCACAATGTATGGTGTAAAAAGAATATTCTAGTCTGTTAGGAGGTCATTCAAACTTTTATGGAGAATAAAGAGTGAATCATACCCTATCCTGTCACTGTGAAGTAGTCTTGAATGACTAAAATGAGTGACTTGATACTGCATATTTATTTAGCATTTAAATCAGAGATCCTGCATAATCTCTAAATTTTCTTTCATGTGAATATATGCAACTCTTCACTGAGGTTACAGGAAAATGGTGGTAGCATATCTGGTCCCTACTTCCATTTGTGTGGTAGAAGCAAAAGCAGACAAAAAGCTGCCTGGGGTGTATAGTATACAGCAGTCTGTGGGAGGAGCATGGACAAACCTGTGTTCTGGTAATCCTCGGCTGACAAGATACAGTGCAAAGCTTTAACCCCCAGTGGAAATCAAAACCATATGAAGCTGCTGGAAATTCCACCCAGAGATCAGCAGACAAGCCTACAGTCTGTGGACAAAAGCAAAAAAAGGGGAGCAACACTGCTGTTAGTCTGGGGTTAATTACAAAGTTCAGGCTTCAAGCTTATTTGTCATATATGGTGCTACAGCTGGCTCATAATTATAACATTGTTTATCTCTGTGTATTTGAGGCTTCTGTGTTAGAAGTAAAAAAAAAAAAAAAAGCTGGGCCCACAACACTAGGGCCTGAGCTGAGCTTTGGCTGAAGATTATGTTCAGCTGCCTGGTGCAGCCCCACCAGCTGTCAACAGGATCTATCAGGCCTGCTTTAATCCTCAAACTATTGATCTACCTGTCAATGCCCCAAAACCACAGCCTTCTGACTGAGAAGCACACTTGGAAAGATTTGAATGGAGTCCAGAGGCTTTCAGCATGTCATGGCACTGAGTGTTTCTGTAATACAGAGGAGAAACAGGTAATAAAGGTGGAGAAAAACTGGCCACAGTTAATTGCAAGGTGCAAGTTTTCATAAAGCTGTTTGAATTTCAGGGAAACCATGGATGGTATTTCATAATGATCAGAAAATGATGGCAGCCTGCCCAACAAGGCAACAGGAACCGCACGTCTTCCACACCTGTAGAAGATACAGTCACAAAGTGTACGTGAGAAACCATGGCTGCTTATGGCCACATGGCTCCTAGACCAGCCTTGAGCTTGCCAATAGATCATTGGGAAGAGCAGATATTTTTAGTGCTGTGCTGCTCTTGCACTGGGAAGAAGTGTGACTAGCATGTCAAGGGAGGTGATTCTGCCCCTCTTCTCTGCTCTCATGAGACCCCACCTGGAGTACTACGTCCAGTTCTGGAGCCCCCAACATGTAGGACATGGAGCTGTTGGTGCAGGTGCAGAGGAGGCCCACAAAGATGATCAGAGGGCTGGAGCACCTCCCCTATGAGGACAGGCTGAGAGGGTTGTGGCTCTTCTCTGGAGAAAGCTCTGGGGGGACCTTATAGCGGCCTTTCTGTACTTGAAAGGGGCCTACAGGAAAACTGGTGAGGGGCTTTTTAAGAAGGGCACATAGTTACTGGATGAGGGAAAATGGTTTTAAGATGGAAGAGGGCAGATTTAGACTAGATATTAGGAACAAATTCTTTACTGTGAGAGTGGTGAGACATTGGAACAGATTGCCAGAATGGTTGTAGATGCTCCCACCCTGGAGGTGTTCAAAGCCAGACTGGATGGGCTTTAAACAACCTGATCTAGTAGGAGGTGTCCCTGCCTATAGGCAAGGAGATGGAACTAGATGATCTTAAAGGCCCCTTCCAATCCAAACCATTCTATGATATTCTGTCTTTAATCAGCCATCAACAACACCTTCATTTAAAAAAGAATATGTATACATTTTTCTTCTTTTCTCAAAGCTATACTTGCTTGCAGCTTTCAAAGTGCAAAAGATAAATCATTTTTTCCAAATAGCAGTTAAACATGAAACAGAAAAACAAAGAGCACACCACATAAATAGAAAAGCAACAAGGTCTGCTGCACCTAGATGAATGGACAGCTGATTGAGCAATATTCAGAACATTTAAAAAGCTAGGTGTGGTGACAATGAAAACTGCAAAAGAAAAAAAAATGTGTTCCTTAAAGCGTAGCTCTTGATGTCTCCACATACTTATGCACATCTGTTAACAGTTTGTCACTCTAAGAGCAAGGCTCCACATCTGATTGATACCATGTAGTCAATGAGTTTCACAAAGAAAGTTTGTGACAGAGTGTCAAATATGCGTTCTGGTGATTAAGCTGCTTAATTATATGGAATCTGTTTTAGCAAATTTATAAGTAGATTTCCATCAGCTTTTCCATCAGCTTTTCTCATTTCTATGCCCCTGACCACACCAAGATGGTCTCTCTACAGCTATTTGCTCCAGTCTTCAGTCCTTAGAAGAACATAGAAAAGACAGCTGTTCAGTGTACTTGGAAAAAAAAGGATGCATACATGGATTCAATTCTCAAATGGCATCTTTAACCACCTCAAACATAGCATTTCTCTTTTGGGAAGGAATATGAAAGAAGCTGTTTCTTTCCTTCTAAATATGGAAAAGTATTCAAACATATTTGTTTTTCTTGATCAAAATGTAAGCAATGTAAATAGCAGTAACAATCAGCCCTACTTCTCTCCTTATAAATAAGGATAAGATATACTTTTGCACAGGAGTGGGTTGGTTTTTTTTTTTTTTTTTTTTTTGCATGCCTTTCCCTTTCTTCCTCAATAGCTCTATATCCTAAGTCTTTTCCTTTAGTACTCCTAGTAATCTCACTGACCTACCTACATAAGCTCAGATACACAAAAAAAGTCTAAAGAAAACACAAGGAAATGGAAAGAGTGCAGAACTATAATCCTCTATACTTTCTGTGATGCTTCATTCCCCAAACAAGAGATGACCAGCTCACAGACACAGCAATACAGGCTACAGATACATTCTTGCTGACATGAAGCTATGGTTACACTGGCTTGTCCACTTCAGTTCCACAAGTAGGCTTCAGGCATATACCCAAATAGAGTGCAGCAGGGAAATGTGGCTTTCCATTAAATTTATGAGTATACATAGAAGTTAAGCTGTTCTTTACAGAGCACGTAGCCAGAAAAACTATCACAATGAAGAAGAAAAAACAGAAATGAATAGAAAAGCTTACCCATATCCAAGGCACTCACGCACACCCACCAACAAGAGAAGCAATCTCCTAGCAGACATCCTTCCTCAGTAGCAGTCAGTCCTTAAATGGGATCTAGGAGAGGTGCAGCCAGGCTCCACCCCTTGCAATCACACAAGTGAATTGCTTTCACCTGTGCTCCTGTGGCTGACTCAGTGCTTGCCTCAGGTGATCAATCAGAGGTTCAGGCCATGATTCAGTAGTTCCCATACAAAGCTCTTGTTTATATAAACTGAAAGCATTTAAGTGGACTTACTGTGGTATGAGTCATGCTAATGAAATCCAAATTAAATGCTATATAAGAGTCCATCTATTTGGACAATTGGAATGGTGTATTTACTGTGATGAAAGGACTCTGATTCCTAATGAGACACCTTCTCTTCACCTCTGATCTCATCATTCACACCATTGGTTCTTTGTCATTGTGTTGGCTTCAGCAGCCACCCTGTGAGCTGTCCCTTCCCTTAATATTGTACTGCCATTTCTTGACATTCCCCTTCTCTATACCTTTTCCACCAGGCTTCTCCCATAGAGTGGCACTATATACTTGCAATATGTACGCGTGTGTGTATAAATATATATATATATACACTTTTTTTGTGGGTTTTTTTTTTTTTTTTTTTGGCAGAAATATTACTTGTGTTCTATGCACATTTTTGCACATGATAAATAGACTCAGATTTTGATATGAAGAGTTTCATCCTAATTCTCTGGTTGCTACTAAAAGAGCTGCTGGATACTTCATTTATAAATAATCTTTTCCCATTTTGATACAGTCTAAAAATACAACCAGTGTTGCTGCACTGATAATCAGAAATACTTCTCAAACTTTTCCTATTACAGAACCATATTACATTGCTAGTGTATTTTAAGATGTCATTAGAAACGACTCGGATGCAGAATTAGTTGTGATGAGTTGTTTTCCCCAATTGCTACATTTAAAGGGACAGTGTACCTCCTGCATATTTAATGAAGAACTTCCTAAACCAAGTATAAAGTGCCAAGACAGGAGGCAGTGGAGGTGACTGTGCTGCCCTGCTGTGCTGGCGTATACATGCACACAGCATCCTATCCTGCACGGGTGTGATGGATGGCTGTGGCTGAGCTCTGTGCCTGAAGATGCTCCCTGCCATCACGTTGCTCCCTTTTTGCCAAGAGCATCCACCTGCACTTCTGTTTCACCATTCACTCTGTGACGCCTGCTTCCATTCCACTGCTCTCCATCCTGGATGGTTGTAATAACAGAAGCGAACGCAAGCAGTGACTGTGAGCTTCTCGAGGGAGAAGTTTAAGCTTTTTGTAATCGAAGCCAAAGTTTATTCTGCCGCTGCCAACGCCCGTGAATTCACATGTAAACACGTACATACGGCCACGGAGAGCTGACAAGCGGTCAAGGCTACGGGCCCTGAGAAACGACTCAGGGGCCCAGCGTCGCCCCGCACAGCCCGGGGACGCGGAGGACCAAGCAGCCGAAACCAGGAGCCTCCCAGCTGTACCGAACAGCGCGGGAAGGCGCTGCGCCTGAGAGCCGCAAACTTCGGTACCCACCACTAGCAGCCCCCGCCCGCTCCCCACCTGCCGCCCCGGCGCCGCCTGGATCTGCCCCGTCGCGGGCTGCCCCCTACCGGCCGGCACCGCCCCTCCGGGCCCCGCTCCGCAGAGGAGCTCCGGGGCGAGCGCGGAGCCCCGCAGCCCTGCGGGGGCCGCCTGAGGCGAGGCCGGGCCGGGCCGCCCCCTCGCTCCGTTCCGTTCCGCGCCGGCCGGGCCGCGCCCCACGCCCCGCCGCAGCCGGCGTCGCCCCGCGGTGATTATCCGCTGCCGCCCGGGGGAAGCGGCCGCTGCCGGGAAGATGGCGAGCCTCCGCCTGCTGCTCCTCGGGTACTTGGGGGTCTTCTGCTGTAAGTTGCCGCGCCTCCTCCTCTAGGAGCACGTTCGTGCCGCGTCTGTCCGTGTGCATGTGTGGGTGTGCGCATAGAGTTGTCGTCGCTTCAGGGAGCCCCCGGGCAGCCTGCTGTGCTCGGGCTGCGCGGGGCGCGGAGGCGGGCGGCGGCCGGGAGCTGCCCCGCGGGCAGCAGGGGGCGCCGCGGGGGGCCCGGCTGGGGCGCGGGTCCCTGCATCGTCCCGGGGGGCAGCGACTGCGGGGTGGGAGCGGATGTGAGTTGCTCCAGCCTCAAGGCGAGCTGGCCGCTCTCTGCGGCGCTGCGAGTGTTAGGATGCGGGCTGCGCTGCGTGCCCTCCGGGTGGGTTCTAAGAGATGAACGGGCAAGTTCCAGAAATGTGCTTTTTGCGGGTAACGGCGCTCCGGAGACGGATTGATGTTTCCAGCGTGTTTATGGGGTCCTGTTGTCTGACTCGTTGAAAAACCAGATGGAGAGATGTGAAGTTGGCAAAAGCTGCCCCACCCAGAAAGCACATGGAAATGAGTGAAAGCAGAGTGCGGGGCCGCTTAGCTGCAGAGAAGCAGTGAATGAATATGCGGTGTTCATACTGCCAGTCCTCTGAACGCTAGTGCTTTTGGATCATATCTGATTGTGCTCCTGTACGCTCTGTGTCTCACTGCTGCTGTTGGGAATGTGGAAAGGATGCCCTGAAAAAAAATTGTGTAGCTCATGTTATCTTGCTAACAAAGTGAGAACCTGAGACCTGACTGCTTTAGCTGCTCAGTAGGGCACTCTTGCATTTAACTTTCATTCCTCCTCACCTAACAGAAATTTGTATGTGGAAGACTCAGAGTGACATGCACTCTGCTAGTTCTTTAGCTTGGTGGCTATTTGTCTTTTCTTCTGTCTTCACTGAACTGTGTACAGTTTTGGGACCCCCGCTACAAGAAGGTCCTGGAGTGTGCCCAGAAAAGGGCAATAGAGCTGTGAGGGACCTGGAGCACAAGTCTGATGGGAAGCAGCTGAGGGAGCTGGGGTTGTTCAGTCTGGAGAAGAGGAGGCTCAGAGGAGACCTCATTGCTCTCTACAGCCACCTGAGAGGAGGTTGTGGTGAGGTGGGTGCCGTCCTTGTCTCCCAGGTAACAGAGATGGAATGAGAGGGAATGGCCTCAAGTTGCACCTGGAGAGGTTCAGGTTATTAGGAAAAAAATGTTCTCAGAAGGAGTGGTGAGGCAGTGGCTCAGGCTGCCCAGGGTGGTGGTAGAGTCACTATCTGTGGAGGTGTTTGAGGGCTGTGTGGATGTGGTACTGAGGGACATGGTCAGTGGGCATGGTGAGAGTGGGACTTGATGGTTTTTCATACCTTAATGATTATTAATGTTCTGAGAGGGCAGATCTTTAAGTGATTTACACTATGCTTGTTCTCTGGCTTGGTAGCAGTTTTCCTTTGTCTTTACCTGTATAAGACATAATAAAAACCTGGGTTGTTAGGTAGGTGGCTGATGTAGGCTTCCTCTATCACACAGTGAATTAGAAAAAAATAATAAATTAAAAAATTTAAGTGTTCTTTGATCTTTTTCTTCATTTGTTGTTATTTCATGGGTATATCTAATCAAATAAGGCTTGCTGTGGGTGTTTTATTTATTTAGTGAGTGAGTAGTTTCAGCACTTTCAAGCTGCTCATTGTTGGGTTTTGTGTGTTGATACTGCTGGCTTTGGTCAGCATGGAAATGCCACAGAGTGGTTTAAAAGCAGTACACTAAGTCTGGTGGCTAAATTGTTGGCAGACACTTATTTTTCTCTCTTCCCATCACTGTTCCCCCTAAAAAAATGCCAGGTGGAGGGGAATCAGTTTACCAACAGTGTGCTGATATGGAGCTTTTGCATGAAGAGAGTGACTGCAGGTGGGTGTGCAAATGCTGATTGTTTCTGTGAGCTGGAGGAAATCCAGGCAGAAAAAGCTAGTGGGAGTCTGCTGCGGCTCCTAGAGCTACAGCATGCTCACGCTAACAATAAGGCTGAGTAATGCTGGCATTCATGTCAGATGTATGTGTTGAGTCATTTCTAGTGTGGGTCTGGATCCCAACATGCTGCAGAAATAACAGAGAATGGGTAAAAGCTTATGAGGAAAAGAAAGAATTAGGTTATTACCGAAAGAGCGTGAGGGTTGTTGTAGAGCAGCAGAAGAGAACTTGCTTGGTAATTCAGCTACAGGAGTTAAGAGCTGGATAAATTGGTCATAGGAAGTCAGCATAGCCAGGAACAGTGCTGAGGTCTTTTCAGGGAGAGCCTACTAAGAAATGCTAATGAAGGAGTGGTTTCTCTCAGTTAAAGCCTCTCTTATCTTTAATTTAGGGGGAAAGCAGGGGAGTTGGAGACCATCAGGTCTCAGTCTGCATGAGCTCCATAAACTGATGCTGCTTGTGAGTGTTTTCAAAGGTGAGCAGGCCAAGATTTGTGAGCTCTGTTGGTATGAGTTAGAAAATATACAGAAATTGTTGCTATTAATAGTCATGGCAGCTGCTGGGGAGGTGGTACATGCTGATGAAACGGCTCTTCTGTGGAACTTCCAGGTGTGATTTATTTATTTATTTGTATTACTGTAAGTTAGAATTAAAATTTAAGCTGGTGATGCTGAAAACAAATGCAGTGCAATGTGTCGGGGTGAGGACAATGCGGTGGCAATAAATAGCAATCTTACATAAACATCTCATGGAACTCTCTGGGGTAGTTTGATTCAGCAATAAATAAGGTGAGGATGTGATTTTTTTTCTTACTGGCTTTAAAACAAACACTCCTTAGTGCTTGGGAATCTTTCAGACAGATACAGAAGTTCTAGGTCAAAAAAAGTCACATCTCCATCCCTCCAAGAACTCAGAGAGCATGACTGCATTAGCTGTATAAAATAGCATTGTGCTTGGAAGTCTTTAAACTGTGTTTTCCCTGTTACACATGATGATGTTCTCAAAGTTGACCCCCTGTCTTCCGTCAAGCCCTCTGTGTTTGCTGGATTAGCTTAATAAGGACTTATTTTGATTTCTAAATTAGAGTCCATTTTCAGATGAGATGAAATTTCTTAAATTTACAAGGCTGTGTATTTCTCTAAAGTCTGTACAGAATAACACTGAACCTGTTTGCCTTTTTGCCTTTTTTTTTTTGTTGTTGTTGTTGATTTGTTTTTTGGTGGGGTGGCTGTTGTTGTTTTTCTTTTCATGCTGTGGTGACAAAGCATGACATACAGGAATTCTTCTAGAAAGTTTAAGAATTGATGATTTGGTTGGAAGACCTTCCTGCCTCTGCAAGAGAGACAGACTTCTCAATCTATTATTTTCACAGTTTCAACCTCTTGCTTAGATCTTCAGGGGTCAGGGGAAATTTTGTCTGTGAGCTTTCTTGAAAAGCCTCACTATTTTCTTTAAAACATAGATACTCATCTTTGAAGGGATCTCTGTTTCAGAGGGACTCAGTCAGAAGCAGCGCCATTGTTTAGTAAGGATTTGTCTCTCCTTTCTGCTAGCAGAGAGGAGACACAGGGAGCTGGTTCCTGGCTTGTTCTGTGGTATCCTTTCTTCTGATTACTACCCCTATAGTCTGCTACTGGATGTACAAAAGGAAAAATGAAGATGACTGCTTTCCTTTGTTGCATACAGGAAGCATGAAATGCACCTGCACCATCACTGCAAGGCAGTCACAATTCGCAGTTCCCTCTTTCTGTTTAGGGTGATTGTATTCAAGTTGGAATACTTGCTTTTACTATTTCTTGGCCTCCAAGGTCCTGATTCCTCAACTTGAGTGCTGCAGCTATTCTTTGTTAGTGTTATAGGACATGTATTTCTGGTAATTGTGACTACAGTAGGGCATATGGCATTGATAATGAGAGCTAAAATTACCACTGTTAATAGCAGATCTAATTGAGCGGATGAGGTGTTCTTGTTGGCTATTTAACTGAATTACACCAAGGTTGTTTTTGCTGGTTGTCTGGTTTTTTTGGTGTTGTTGTTGTTGTTTTGTGATAATATCTGTATTTCCTGCTACAGACTATTTTGGCAGCAGCATGCTGGCAGCTGGATTCTGCTACAGAAATTTGCTGATGGTGTCACAAATGAGTAAGAATGTGGAAGTGCTTGAACTTTGACTTAATATTTTCTCTTTAATTGACTGATTTAACATTTGTGGGATCGTTGGGATCATCTTTCACAACTTAGAGCTACCAAGCTTGTCTGAGGCCACTGTCTAAATCCAGAAGTTACTGCGGAAGTGAGTGTGCAAACCTGTTTCTAAGGAAGTGAGCTGAAGTTGTTAAAGACAGCGTTTACATATGGCTTCCTCAAAGGGTACCCCAAGTGCTGGTGGTCATGAGCAAGACAACTCTTTTTAAGTATGGGAAAATAATCTTGTATGGCTAATATGCAGGAAAATCATCTCTCATTCCATTTCACATGAGTAAATAGTGATACTCTTTCACTAATGATAAACAGTGACATCCATGTAGATCTTCGGCAATAGCATTAAGCAGGGAGGTGAATCTCTGGGCTGTCTGCATTTGGAGAATCAGTAACTAGTGAATTTAACTCTGAAATTGGAATCTAAAAGTTAGTTACAATTCAGTTAGTTTCCATCAACACTGTAAAATGTTATCTTTCTGTCAAAATGTTTTTAAAGATGATTTCATTTAAAAGTTCTCTCAGAGAAAGTAGGATTTGGTGTCATGCTCTCTCCCAGCAATAGCAGAGGTCAGCCCAGTGTAAAAGCTTACATAAAGGAAGGTTATTGAGCATCCTCTCAGGAATAAAACTGTTTTTATATCAAAACAATTAAGTTTGTATTTGCCATTGCAGGCTTTTGCCAGGGCTATACAGAATGGTTAAATTAAGGTTTCCCTGAAGTTACAAACTAACATCAAGCAGAACCACTTGCCACAGACTGTCTTACTGCTGTTTTTGGTTGGTTGGTTGAGATTTTTTTCCCCACTGTAATCACTTGGTAAGTTACCTTAGTTATGTTATCCATTTCCAGTTTGGTGGCTAATATCTAGCCGGGTGAATGTTTTAATGGAAACTTAGGGAAATGTTATGTGGAAACTGAAAGTCAATTATTTTACTGGCAATTTTCTTACTGTTAGTTCACTTTTTCCTCCCAAGAAAAGCTAATTTTTTAAGACTAGTTTTTACTTTCTGGCATGTCATTTTCCATCCTGATTAATTCTCAGAGAACTATCACTTTTAATAAAACACTGAAAAGCCTTCCACATCTTCCTCAAAGTGTTGTACATTACTTTGTTATAATTCTACCACAGGAAGATCTGAGCAAATATTATGGTGTCTTTGTAATCCAGACAAATGATATGTTTCTTGAATGCTAGTGTTTGGGAAAGGAGAATGGGATAGAAAGTGAAGCTGAAGCAATGTTTGGATGATTGTGTGTGCTTGTGCTCACCTCTATTTCCAAAGCCACATTTTCTTCTAGAAGTTTCCAATGACTTAAGTCACCTTAATCCTCACAGGATATCATTGAGCACTTGAGTGCTTATTTTGTAATACTGGCAGAAGGTAAGCTTGGCAGCTGAACATCTGGTCCCATTCACTTGTCACTTCCTAGCATGCACTGGGAGGTGAAGGAGCTTTTGGAGATGCAAGAAGGGAAAAATAGCCATTTCTGAGCAACAGCAAGCAATATAACAACAGGAGTAGTTGTTGAACCACTGGTGAGTCTGTAGCCCCTCCTGATTAACGGGAATCAAAGGAGGCGTCCAGTTTCTTTCAGAGATTATTTGCAGGGGAGAACATGGTGGGAAAATACAGTACTAAGCCTTTCTGAATGCTTAATTTTAAGAAGTTCAAAACTCAGCCATCTTCAGTAAGAGGATCCAACTTGTATTGTGATAACAACTTGATCCTGACCTTTAAAAAAGTAAGAAATGATCAGATTCAAGATGAAAAGAATAGCTCTGACAGGTATGAAGTTTCAGTAGATATATATTTACTTAGTTTTTGTTAGAATCATAAAGCATCCCAAGTTGGAAGGGACTCGCAAGGATGATTGAGTCCAACTCCTGTCCCTACACAGGATCGCCCAAAAATCAGGCCATGTGACTGAGAGCAATGTCTAGATGTTAGGATTAGCTTCATAACATGCACTCAGTTCAGTCCAATTAAACAAATTAAACAAATTTAACATTTATTTAACATTTGTTTAATGCCAATAAATATTTGTATGTGAATGAATGAATGAAATGAAAATGTTTTATTTTCAGTCAGTATTTGAGGTTTTCTTTGTATCTTGCAGTGAAATGCCCCTGCTCCTTGCAGCTGAGCACGGTAATGTTCCTCCCAGATGTAATGTGGTTTACTAATGCATATATACCTTGTAATCATTTGAGAAGGTCCTGAAAGTAAATTAGCACAGAAAGAAATCAATGTTTATATATTAAATAGAGAAGTTGAAAATGTAGAAGAGTTAGAGGGAGATTGAGACAGCCTGGTAATTGTAAGAGCTCATAAGATTTTTAAGATGCTGGTTTTGTAGTATTGGATTGACTAATAAAGCTGACAAATTTAGGGACTCCCATCTTGCTGGTAATATCAAAAGTTTCTGCCTGGAATAGGAGGTATGGAGTAGTAAGCAGATGCATACCATAGTGAGAGTATACTTGCATATTGTGAAGCAGTGCTTGAGGCTGCGTTAGCATAAGCTTTTCCTTCTTGTCATACAGCCTGAAGAGGCCTTCACATGATTTCATTTCAAGTCAACTACTTTTTTTTTTTTTCCTGTAGAAGATCTACATCCTAGACATCACTTGATTCAAACAGTGCTAGTTGATAAAGAAGTCTCCCAAAATGTATTAAGTACAAGAAGTAGATGCAATTATTCTCTGTGTGTTCAGTTCAAGTACTGTTGAAGGGATGGCTCTGGGGTACTTCCAGAACTTAAGGTACTTGGTTTTGAGCCTTTCAGTAAATAATGTTCTGGGGCATAAGAGTCATCTGGGAACATCTATGTTTTTCTACATGGAATCAGCAGTGTGTGTGGAGATAGTGACTAAAAACTGTTTTCAGCTCCTGTTGCTATGACTCTTAACGTGAGTTCCAGTTGTATCTCTAGTTGAGTCCTCAGCTCTCTAACAGTGCACAAAGTTGCTCTTCACTTTACAGTTGTGCTCAGATTTTTAGCCCCCCTTTTTGGAAAGGGGGAAGTGAAAGCAGTGCTTCTGAGGCCATTCCAGATTTTGCAATATGTACAGGCTTTCTAACATAAATAGCCGTGGGAGAAAGTGCTGAATTCTGTGCGAGAGTAAGGAAGTGATTTCTGTTTATAAGCTTTCAAATTTATTTAAAGCTTATGCAAACCTTTTCCAAGTTATGTAAATAGAGAAGTGGGCATGGCTGATTCTCGTATATACAGCTGAGAGACTTGCAGGTGCAGAATCCTTCTATTGAGTTAAAGCAAACTCCATGCCTTTTAGGGAACAATAAAGCAGTGCAGTTTTTTTGTTTGCTTGTTTTGCTTTTGTTTTCTTACCTTATAAGATAGTCTTCAATCCAACAAAAAAAAATCCCAGAAAACTTGCGCTTTCTTCCAAAAATGGCATAGATGTTTAAGATAGATACTTTGTTTTCTGTTTGAATGGAATATCTATGCAACAAAGTCTACTTATACAAAAACAGTGTTTTACACTACTTTGGAAAGCTGAAAGCAGTCTAGCCTAGCATTCAATAAAAAGGTGAACACAACAGTTCTTAATTTCATCTAATTGTTGGGGAAAATTTGGATCTTACTGGCACTTTTAACAATTATGTCAGTGTGTGTGTGTTTTTTTATTTTTTTTTTATTTTTATTTCTTTTTCCCCTCACTAATCAAAAGAGCAGTCTGGGGGAGAGTGGGCTGGGTGGTGAGCAGATCTTCTGTCCATTACTGAAGCAATGCAATATCTGTGGCTTCCAGCAGAGATTAGAAGCTAAAAGCATTGAACAAAATACAGCAGGGGGTAGGGAGGAATTTTGTCTTTTTTTTTTTTTAAACAGAATTATTTAATGTTGTGTGAATACAAGGAGAGCAAGATAATATATAAAATCAATAATATCAGTAGAACTAACAGTGTCACTGGTGTCCAATATGTGCATATATAAGCAGACTTGAGTTCTGGTAGCCCTGCTTACAGGTGTACTATTTGCAATTTTATCTCCAGTATTAACAGGTTAGTAACCTAAGATTTACTCTTCAGTTTTGGGATGGAACTAATCATCTGAAAATCAGAAGAAGAAGAAGAAAAAAATTGCAGTATCATTTTGTTGCTGAATGCTGCATTTGAATCCCTGTAGTTTTTTGGAGCCTTATTCATATGGGTAAAGTCTTTAAAAGCAGAAATGTGGTATGAAATCGGATTGTTTTAAATTCTGAATTGTGCTGACTGAAGAGCAGATAATTCATGACCTATAGCTGTCTCTACTTTGGGATGGGAAAAGTAAAGGGTGGGCAGATGGTATCCAAAAAAACTTTTACAGCTAAGTATGTCAAGGAGCTTGGCTAGCTGGTTAAGTGAAAGGTATATGTAGACTTGGCTATAAGGAGTTGCATATCTGTCAGCCCTAAAGTGGATACTCTTTTGTGTGTGTGTGTGCATGCGTGTGAAAGAGTAATTCATTTTGCCTTGTAAGGGACCTTGTCCTTAGCTGCCATAAAACATAACTTGGCACTCAAACATAAAGCATAAAAGCTTATAGGCTTCTTTTAACAAGTGTGCTTTCAGCTAAACTTAGATGCCAATGAGTTCCTCTTATAGGAGAGAGATGCAGGTAACTATCTATTATTTAACATACCATCTTGTTCCCTTTCTTGGCTTCTTGACCGTTCCTAACTCTGCTGATGCTAGCTTGGTACCATACAGTCTTAATGCAAGATGAGCAGACCTGCAACAACAGTGGAAATAAATATGTAAATATGTCAGATCCTCTTCTTACTAACATAGATTGCTATGTGGCTTTAGAGCTGAACTCTGAAGACTTTTTTTGTTTGGATACCATGTGATCACATCGCTTATTCTGGTATGCATCTGCCTGTATAACCTACATGCCAGCATAGTGTTTAAACAGTTCTTCAGATACCTTTCTCAAAAAGAAATCCTTAAGATGAAATTAGTTAGCCTGAGTTGAGTACTACAAAATACTACTATTTAGTCTTATTTCTAAAGGAAATTTAAGTTTAAGCAAACAGTGTCATGTGAGTTCATAAAATATCCATATCTTGTGAACAGTTGGTGATAAAGAGAATGAAGTCAAAAGCAGGCAAAGCAGATAACGAAACAGTAGTTTATAAAAGCATATATGCCTGTCTGGAAGTCATGATTTCATGAAATGTGTTAATCCATTGACTCTAGCAAGCATTTCAGATGTGTAATACTTGAGTTTTAATGATATATATCTTACATGAATAGTGTATCTTTTGTATTCTCTAGATGGCCATTTTAACTTCCAGTCTTCTATGGATCTTTGAAGTTGCACTTGAAAAGCTGGGCCAGGAGGTGAAATCATTAAAAAGATTTTATTTTTTAATTCTAAAAATATCTAATGGCTTAAAAATAGTAATAATGACTACAAGGAGCACATAAAAATAGGAATTAGTTTTGTTTCTAAATTATGACAAGATTATTTGTCTTCCATGCAGTTGTTCTCTCCCCAGGATTTTTTTTTTTTTTTTTTTTTTTTTTTGTTACAGAATTTTTTGTTTTGTTTTGTGTCAGTGAAACAGCTGGTGCTTTCTTAGTTTAAATATCTGCTGACAAGATAATCAAGTCATGCTACATGAAGCCTCAAACTAGTGAATTGTGAATGTTAGGTTGCTTCCCAAGCTTGCCCCTCTGACGCAGTGCAGCTGAATTGCTTGTTAGTTAACCTTTCCCAAATATTCTCAAGGATGTGGCTCCTGACACATCTCTTCTGTTGAAGTGCTGTGATGATCACTGAGTTAGCATACGCTTGATTTAAAAAAAAAAATACAACACAGAGCTGCTCTGTTTATTCCTGTTTCCTGTATAACAGTACAGTGTTGCTCTTCTAATGTTTTCTAATCTGAAAACACATATGTTTTTTTGCTTGTGTTGCTTCTAATAGGATGAAGACTCTATGGTGGTTGTTATTATTATTATCCTCTTCATTCCCTTTGAGGAAAATTTGGCACCTACTATACTGTGACCTATTGTTCTTAGCTCTACCTTCCGGAGGATTTCTTCTAATCACCCTGCATCTTCCAGCATGTGAAACATCTTCTGCTTTTTTCTAGCTCTTCTTGATACATTATATACATGTACTTGCACTGTAAACCACAACATTGATTGAAACATCAAACATAACTGTTAGCTGCTTCTAGCAGGAATAGACTGTTGAGCGAACTTGGCAGTATTATGTGAATGAAAGTGGGATGAGCTAATTTGGCAAACTGCATGCAGATGATTTGGAAGAGATCATATTCTTTGGCTGGGAGAGAAGTGGCCATTGTACTTGCAGCTCATATTAGCAAAGAAACTGGCCTGTAGCTTTGTGAGGAAAAAAGCTAGTATATAGTCCAGTGCTTCTGATCACTAAGATCAGATTAAGATGCAGTCCTAAAATTCATGGTTCAAGTGAAATTCAGTCAAGTGACACCTCACCATCAGCAGTTGAAAATGTCTCCTCAGAAATCCTAAGTTCACAAAGCATTACAGAAACCTGATGCTTCCATTTAAAGAGTATCCTACTGTTTTTGGAAAGATTCTTATGTATATACACTTTTGTTTGATGGACACGCTAGCTAGAATGACGTCATTGTTTGTTCCAAAGTCAGCAGAAGTTGAATGGAAGGAAGCCTGTGCAAAGCCTTCCTTAAAAACTTACTACGAGGAGCTGTTCTTGCATCCATTCCACATTAGTATAGAAGTATATTCTAGGTGAATGTCTGCTTCTGAGAGAGTAATGTATTTTTTAAGCTATAGATTTCAGATTGATCATTTCCTTTAGTGGAGGATACAAGGTGACAATGCTGGCTTGATTTTGATTATTTAATTTTTCTGAAAATGAGATATTTGGATGTGGTTGGTCTAATTAGCAATTCTACCTGTTACTGTGGATCTCTTTGCAGTGCCCAATTATGGCTAGTTTGGTACTCGTTTACCTTTAGAAAACAGACCCTAATAGGTACTCATCTTCTGCCATGAAAGCGCTTTGTAGAAATGCTTAGATTAATCAAAAAGGGGTTGAAAGGTCCTATGTGAAAAAAAAATGCTTTAAACCTGAGAAGGGACTGAGGATGATCAGGAAACTTGATTCCAGCTTAAATGGATGACACTACTTATGGGAGGAAATATTCCCAGAACAATGTATTTGCTTCCAAGATTTGAAATCCTAGAGACCTGATTTTTTTCCTAGGATCTGGAAATATGACCTTTCCATGAGGAAGTTCAGTTGCTCTTCTAGTTCTGAGCAAGCAGGAACTCCAGCTCTACATGGTGTTTTATAGAATCATGACTGGTGCAGCCGGAAAGTAAACTGAATCTGTTTTCAGGCATTTTTAGATGTGTATTTGTAGGTTTTTAAAAGACCCAGCTTCTTGAAAGCATTTATCCTTTTGAAATTTCTTGGCAGTCCCAGCAAAAGTCACTTGAGTGTTGTGCAGACCTCCGAAATCTAGCATGGACCTTCTGTCTTGAAATGAGAGCCCAAATGGTTGTGTGGCTTTTTTGAGGGAGTTGTTTATTTTCTCTTGTTTCCCAGCTCCCTTGTGTTTCAGGGTTGATTTTACGGTTGATGTAAATCAGCCCGGTACTATTGACTTCAGAAGGAGATGCTAGTTTGCAGTGGGGGCTCAGCTTTGTTCTGTGAATTCCAGTAATCATGCTATAAGAATTTCCCTAGGTACTTGAACAGACAAGTGTTTTGCTGAATTGTTAGACCTGTTCCTTCAGCTCACTGCTGCTGTGCGCTACATGAGCTGCGTGGGACGTCGGCAGCCGAGAAGCTGTGGGAGTGAATGTCTCTCCTAACGGTCTCTTGAAACACAATGGCACAGGACACAAGCCTTCAGGATCCCGATGCCTGCTGCAATAGGCAGCAGTGGGCGCAGCACCGGGCCTTCCCGCGCCTGCAGGCTGCCTTGAGCCGCCGCCGCGTTGCTGTGGCAACCCGAATGCGCAGCCCGGCGGGCGCTGGGCAGCAGGCCTTGGGGGCTGGTCTCTGTGGGGCTGCTGTGAAAACGAGAGCCATAAATAGTTGTTTGGTTAATAACGTATCTCTAAAAGCATATGCATTCTAATTTCCCACTCCTCGTCATGCGGTAATCTGTGTTGGGACTACTGAAAGCAATTTGGAGGCTGTTTAGTATTCTCTGGAATTCATTTACTTCGGTGTTCAATTTCTTCATAAAGGCTGACCTAAATAATCCCTTCCTCTCTTGTCCCATGCCACTTGTTGTTTTTATTCCCTACTTTCTCCACTACAGGCACTTCCAGTTCTGCCTTGCCAGCCTGCTGTCCTTGGGGCTGTGCTCCAAAGTGATCACGAATGTGATCCTAAACTCCCGGGACTGCTGCTGCTAACTAAAGATAATTGAAAACTGTACTCTTGCTATTCCTGACCTTCAAGTTAAGCAAAAAAATATCTTGAGAGTAAAAGTAAAGGCAACATCAGCTGATGTGCTGGCCTTTCAGATTGCACTGAACAGCACAGACACAAAGCCAAGCATTAAACCATCCCTAGGCTGGCATCCTGAATAAGAACTGCATTTCTAGTCCGCTCTGCAATTGAGGCAATACAACAAAAGAGCTTTTTCACCCCTGTGAGATTGAGAGCTCTTCAGACCATCCAACTCCAGCTTTCAATACAGGTAGAAATCCTGTTCTTAGTCCCACTGACAAAGCTTCTGGCCCCCTAAGGAGCAGCTCCCAGCTGTAAGTAGCATGGTTCTGTGAGCTGCTTGTCACGTGTTTTCCATCACAAAGGCAGAGTTGCTGACTGATTAAAAGTATACTTTCTCAACAGATGAATGTGAAGAATTCCTGTATTGTATTTTTATTTTTATATGCTACATCTAAATAAAATAGCACTACGTTTTTGGTGTTTTTTTTTTTTTTTTTCTTTCTTCAGACCTCTAGATCTGCACTAAGTAGTAAATCCAAGAGAAACTTTGGAGACGAACAGTGTGGCCATTTAAACGTTTTAACCTAAGTTGTCTTCTGTAACTACTTACTGCTCTGTCATATTTTGAGAAACTAGCCTAAAGTACACCTTTCTTTGATGTAATAGAGGTTTTGCAAGTAGGGTACTATAAAGACTGACTGTTGTGTCTTGCTTGGGTATCTGTAGAAATGTGTGTGTGTATATATATGCAGAATTTGACTGCCTTTGCTCTTTACTTGAGATCTTTTAATGAAAAAGGATGAAGAGAGTAACTGATGACTAACTCAGCAAGACATGTAGTGTGTGTGTGTGTTGTATTTCTAACTACCCTACCATCTGGATGCTGGCCCTGTTAGAAGCTTCAAATGAATGGTTTTGCTCAGGAGAACAGGCAGAGGGGAGGACTAATCTACTGTGTGTGGCTCTGAGCCTGGTCTGTAAAGGGAACATGCCTTTGGGTCTGGGGGAACAGAGGAAAGGTTGATTTTTTAATTTAATTTTTTTTTTTTTTTTTTATGTAAGATTACTACTCAGCTGTAGAGTTGGAATTGTAATTTTGTAATAGCTTATCTTCCAAAAGAGAAGCCAAACGAAATGTTGGATTTAGCTGGCTTTTTTTTTTTTTTTTTTTCTTCCCATGCTTTGTAAAACTAGTCAATTTCTCCATGAATAAGAGATTTGTCAGGAATTAGGAAAGGGCATATAGGAAAGTGGGTCAGGAAGAATGAGGGAAAGCTAACAGGTATCTGCATGCATAAATACAAGTATTTTCCAAAATTCTTCTTGAGATTATTGATCTAGTAATGGAAAAGACACTTCCTGTAGGAATTCATAGGCTGTGCTGAAGCATAGAAGTTAAGCTGTATTACTCTGCCTATATGTTTTTTTTTGTTTGTTTGTTTGTTTTTTCCACAATCCCCTTATCCTTTGTCTCTTCTGAGCCTTTTAGAAAAGGCTGCTGCTCTTTATGTAACCATCGTTCCCAAGAGTGAAGATCAAGATAATGCATTTTGATTACTATTTACTGAAAATGAGTAGCCGTATATTTTTCCCTCAGCTTGAGACTGTAGCAGCACAGATACAAGTTAATAACTTCTCAGTAGTGCCGGGCAACAAGCACTGTGTCTTATTGAGGAGCAACTTTTCTTAACAAGTGCAAAATATTAAAAACTTAACTTAGTTAAAGTCCGTTTCATCAGGCTAGTAGAGAAGTATCTCATTTGCCACTGAAGCATGGATAACACACGTGATATGGAATCCCTAGTTTTTTTTCTTGATTAAAAACATCTGTATGGACCATGTCCTAATTAGCCAAGAAGAGTGTTTAAAATCTTGCCATATATTTCATGGAATGTTAAGATTCTCTCAGGTGCTGTATGTATTACCCACCGGCTCTGGTACTTGGATGACTAAAACTTACTGTGGTTAAATCCAGCAGTTTCCAAAACATTATGAAAGCTGCTGACAGCTACCACCACATAAGTGAAGGGATGGCTGAGAAAGCCCTTGAGTTCTTCTGGTATTTTATACCCTGCTGGTTTGCCAGCCCCAAAATATGCATTCTTTCCTTGGATTGCTGTGCTTTGCATAGTCACACCGTACCTAGTAAAATACAAACTTACTATCTGCATCTGGATTTAGATGGACTCTGCAAATGAGACTTCTCTTATATTTGTTTTCTGTATGCAGGGTAGTTTCTGGTTGGTTGTTTTGTTGTTGTTGTGTGTTTTTTTGTTTGGTTGGTTTTTTTTTGTAAAACAGATAAGCTTTCCTAAAGTAAATCCTGTTTTATTATTATTGTAGTTCAAGAATATACAAGATAAATGAAAGACAGAAGTTGAGCTTTTTCTTTCTTTTTCATGATGCGTGTTAATTTCTTCTAGCCCTTGTCCAAAGTTTGAACTCTTAATGCCATGTTTGTTATATTTCCTAAATGGGGCTGTTTGTGCTCAGTCCAGGCTACGTTTTGGTTCATAAATCACTGGCTTCTGAAATTGGCTGGGGGTTCTGGCAAACACTGGAGATTCCTGCAGTTACAGTCTGCTAATGGTCCTAAGCTCTTTCCGTTGTGTTTATTGGAGGCTAGCATTTACCACATGACTTGATGGAAGATAGGAGCTGCTTAAACACTCATCTGATGACAGCAACGTGTTTAGAAATAGTGGTGGGCCTCAGCCCTGGCACAATGCTGTTAACATTGCCTAGCCTGCCAGCACCACCATGAGCAAGATGATAGGTAGCCTATTGGTTGTAGTGATCACATAGAATCATAGAATGACCTGGGTTGAAAAGGATCACAGTGATCATCTAGTTTCAACCCCCCTGCTAAGTGCAGGGTTGCCAACCACCAGACCAGGCTGCCCAGAGCCACATCCAACCTGGCCTTGAATGCCTTCAGGGATGGAGCATCCACAACCTCCTTGGGCAACCTGTTCCAGTACATCACCACCCTGTGTGTGGAAAAACTTCCTCCTAATATCAACCTAAACTCCCCCTGCCTCAGTTTAAAACCATTCTCCCTTGTCCAATCACTATCGACCCTCCTAAACAGCCATTCCTCCTCCTGTTTATATGCTCTCTTCAAGTACTGGAAAGCCACAATGAGGTCTCCCTGAAGCCTTCTCTTCTTCAAGCTCAACAAGCCCAATTCCCTCATCCTTTCCTCATAGGAGAGGTGCTCCAGCCCTCTGATCATCTTAGTGGCCCTCCCGTGGACCTGATCAAAGAGCTCCACATCCTTTCTGTACTGGGGGCCCCAGGCCTGGATGCAGTGCTCCAGATGGGGCCTCACAAGAGTCGAGTAGAGGGAGACAATCACCTCCCTCTGCTGGCCATCCCTTTTTTAATGCAGCCACAGTTGGATACAGTTGGACACAGAACACAGTTGGACTTCGGGGCTGCAAGTGCATACTGCTGGCTCATGTCCAGCTTCTCATCCACCAGGACCCATAAGTCCTTCCTCACAGGGGATTTAGCCTCTTCTGACATGATAAATTCTATCTGAAGTAAAGTAGTTTCTTCACTTCTGTTTCTCATGTATGGACTATACCATCTATGGGCTACTTCACTTAGGAAAAAATATGGCAACACAAGCACCAAATGATACGTGAATGTTGTGGCCGTGACAAGACACAGGTGTCATTTGAGTTCATAGTGGTTGCCTTCCTGTTCTCTGCTAGGGAGTACTGTAAGAGAACTGTCTGTGTTATCTCTTTATTCTTGGGACATTGGACTTCCTAAGCTTTCAGTATCCTTTGAAATCCTGTGTTCAGCTTTGTTCTTGACCACCTGCTACTTACAACTTGGCAAAACAAATACCACAAGACTACATTTTTTCTTGTACTTATTACTTTGTTTTGCTTCTGTTCTCATGTAATTTCCTCCAGACACCACAATTTCCTTTGATTTGATTTGACTAATGCGCTTTTCCTTGATGATTCCTCCAGCTAGTGTCAGTTTACAGCTGTGTGATGATTAAATGGAAACTGGATTTTGTGGGCCTAGTTTCAAACAAGTTACACCCATGGAAGAGTAGGGTTTATTTGTTTGGTTTCTGGTTTTTTCAGTGTGTGTATAAAAGCATTTGATAAATAAGAAGTTTGGTAGTACAGTAATCTGTCATCTTTTCTCTATTGCTACTCATATGGTGAATTAAAATCCAGTGCTTGAGAATTGGCTTCTGAGTAATTGGCAGAAAGTTTTCTAAAAGGGCATTGTAAGGAAAAAGTGCTCTAGCTTTAAAGACCTCTCCTGCTTGATCAGGTTTTGATCATCAGCTACCACTGTACCACCTTAATGTTATTGAAGAGGAGCATATATATGTGTGGTTTGTGTGTGATGAGGAAGGCTTTGTGCATGCTGAGTACTTTTTTTTTTCCTCACAAAATATTTAGTACCTGTTAGATTGCACACCAGACTTGTGTATTCTGTAATCCCTTGATCCAGGAGGAAATACACAAACTTGGTGCAATTGCAAGCTCCCAATGCAAAGCACACAGAGTATTTTTGTGATAACTTCCACAGAAATAAGTACTTATTAAGTAAGTAAGATCTTGCTCCAGATATCATAAAACATTATCTCCTGTTGTGTATTCTAGTTCGTGAATACTTAAAACAGGTCAGGGAGCCTCATGATCACTGTATTAAAGAGGAGAGAGTTTCCAAGTTTATGAAATGGCATATATCATATAGTGGTCAGGTTGTTTTGTGCGCTGATGTGCCAATAATTTATAAATGAAGAGAAGGCTGATGTGCCAATAATTTATAAATGGCTTTACCTACATGCTTGGGGCCTAGAAATGCTTCCTACTCAAGTTTAGCTGAAGTCAGGGCCTCGAAACAAAATGTTCTACCTACCATGAAAGTGTAAAGGATGATGATATTTCAGTAGATAACATGATTTTTTTACATACAGGCTTACAGGACATTTAATTTTTGACTATTCTAGAAACAGGTTTGGGTAAAAGTAAAAGCTAAATTTATTTTCATAAATTTAAATAGGGCTTAATAGATATAAAGGAGAATTATTTCAGCCTTTATTTTGGGCCAAGCATAGACAAAATCAGGGAGATGGGCTGTGTGTGTAGGTAAAGGGGCAGCTGTTACTTAGGGAGGTGCTGGGGGAGAAGAGGGGTTCCTTCTTCTGCTCTCCTCAGGGCTCTTTTAGCAGTTTGTTCTATTTTACTTTTCTGAAAGTCCAACAGGAAAGTTTCCTTTCTTGATGGAGTGGAAAAATTTGAAAGCATGATTTGTAATGGAAATATTTTTGCTATTTCTGCAATCTGAGGGAACATAAATGGCATTGCTTGAACCGTAATCTTTGCTTTGTATTTACTTTCATATTATAAACTTCTGCTATAACTATTCTGGAGTGACACAAAGGTGATTAAGACATACTGAGGACAGAATAGTTGCACATGAATTTGGATCATTTCTTAATCTGCAGATGTGAAAATTCACTTTATGTAGCCAAGTGTGAAGCTGTATTCTCTGAGAAACAAGAAATGATGGACATGCACTTGGATTTAGGAGAGAGAGGCAGCAAGATAGCTAGAAAGCAGCAGCTCTGAATAGTAGTGCAGGTGTGCTGGGGTACAGGTGTTGAGGCACAGTTAGGAGGCAGTGGGACTGCTGTGTGAAACAGGGCCTGGGCTGACCTGTGCCAAATGCATGGCTGGGCCCAGCAGCCACCCTGGGGCACCTCAGGGACAGTTTGGGAAAGAGAGGGCACACAGAACACAGCAGGGAGACTTGAGGGGAGCAGGAACAGCCCTGCAGGCACCCAGCAGAGAGAAGGAGGAGCTGCAAATGCCCAAGCATAGTTGTCCCTGCAGCCCTGAGCCCATGGTAGGATCAGATGGATGTTCCCTGAAGTAAGCTGCAGTCCGTGGGAAAGCCCTGCACTGAAGGTGAGCAAAAATGTGCAGAGAGGAGCTGTTATGACTGACTGCAGTCCTCATTCTCTGTTCTCTCAGTCAATAAATTATATTAATTTTCCCCAGTTGAGTCTGTTTTCCCTATGATGGTAATTGATGAGCGATCCCCCTCTATTTCTGCCTAAAGGCATTTTCATCTTACTTTTCTTCCTTTGTCCCATTGAGGAAGTGTAGTGAGAGTGGCTGGATGAATGACATGCAGCAAACTAAAGTCAACTCACCTCAACAGGATACTAGAAATGAACAAATGAACCTCTGCTGTAATGGTGCGGACTCAAATAGTTCTATTCTAACTGCTCTATGACTCACAGCCACAATGGTTAAGGATACTCATATGTCAGAATCTGTATTTTTAAAGGAAATTGGAGAAGTACTAGAGAATTATGGAGAAGGGCCCAACGAGCATCTCAGATGGAGGATAGAATATGTAGTGCCAGGCTAGAACAGCAAGAAATGATTTTGGAAAGAAAAGCAAGAGATGACTTCTGGATGGTATCTTTGTATAAAGAAAATGGCATCCTAAGAGCTGTGAGTACGCATATCTGAAAACCAGATAGACTCAGTGAAATGATAAATGATGAACACACTTTGACAGAAGTAATGAAGAACCAAAAGAAGATAATAAGAAGCAAGGGATTCTTGATCTGTTCATGTCTTCAGAACAACACTGGTAGCCCAGATATGCCTAATGAGAGATGAGAAATTAATTTTTGAACAAAGGAGGTCTGTGTGTGCAAGAGGCAAACAGCAGGTCAAACTGGACTAGTTTCTATCACTCAAAATAAGATTACACTCCTATTTTGAATTAGCTATGTTTCTAAATATTGGTGATGGGGAGTTGTACTCACTTCTTCATACACTCTGTAGCAGTTGTTCAGTGGTTGGTGTGGACATAGGAAATTGAGTGTGAGATGAGTGTCCATACTGTCTTGAAAATTTGTTTAATCCCTCTGGAACTTGAGATGCTTTTGAAATAATAGTAACAGAAACCTGTGTAAAGAAATGTATTTAGTTGTTCCTGAAGGGCAATCTGAGGGAATGCAGACTGCAGTACTTTCTTGACTTTCTTGCCAGTTACTGCACATATTTTAGCCCGGATAAGCAGTTTGTGGTATTCAGGAAAGAAGCCTGCCGTATAACAGAAATACAGTGGAAAATACACTCCCGGGTTAATACAAGTCACTTGAATTAAAAGCAGACTGAGATGTTGCTCCAGTATAAAACAACACCTACTGTTTATATTGAACTTTTCATGTGAAGTATTACCATGGTGTTGTTAAAGAGAAACATTACTGGTTTTTTTTTGGTTTTTTTTACAGATGCCAGGTCATAGAAAAACATGAATTGTTCAAGGCTACTCACATGGCCAGCCATACTCTAAATTTTAGTCAAGTTCTTAGCAGACAATATCCAACCTGTACTGTATAAGGAAGTCTCAAAAACTGCTGAAACACTAAAGAAAAGTATGAGTCTTTATCACTGAACTTTTTTTTTTTTCTGTCCTCTTGCAGATCATAAGGTGACTGGAATTGCTATTGAAACAGATAATAAAAATGTAAAAGCAGAGGAGTTTAAAGGTATAGTATATGCGTTGCTCTGATTTAAAAATACATGTAATAAATATATGCAAGCTATGCAGACAGAAGCTGTGCAGTTAAGATTGTCTTCCTTTTTTCTTGGGCGGTGAGGAGGGTGGTGGTCTTGATCCTACTCTCTTTGTTGACTGCTCTTGTAATCTTTGTTTTGTCTCCATTTTCAGTTGCTTACAGAGTTGGACTAAATACTCTCCAGAGGTCCTTTTCAACCTCACCTGTTCTGTGGTTCTCATAACTTGTTTTTCAGTTCTGATAGCCCACTGTAACGTTGGCTTCATTTCCTTCCACATAAAGTGCTATGAACTGATGGATAAGAAAAGCTGAATCTTAAACAGAGATGTGAGGAGTTACTGAATTTACCATTATTTTCTCTCTGTTGTCAGTACCTATAACTTCGTGACTATTTTAAAAATGACAGTAACTTTAATGACTGTCTTAAATGCATACTTTTTATCATGACTTTTATCAAGGGTGGATAATGATTTCCAATAATCAGCTACAGAAGTTAAGGAGGCAGGGAATAAAATCTGATGTTAGCTGAATAGATAAGAAAGAGATCCTAGTAGTGTGTAAGTATCTGAGGTATGTGGCTTGTGTGGGTTTTTGTTGTTATTTCATTGTACTTAGTTGGAATGCAGAGAGATGGGAATTTCACAATTGAAAGAGTTTTTTGCTGAGGCTTCATTCATCTATGAGATAATGATGAAGTATTTGAATGGTCTCTGAAGCTGTCAGCTCCCTACCCATATTGCATGGCTTGTACTTTGTTATTTTGGTATTTCTATGAGTGAGATCAGATTAATGTAGAAATGAGCATAACTTTTACTTTTTTTCACTAAGGGAAGGTAGGAGTAGATAGACTTAGCTATTAATCTAAATGCTGCTGATCTGAAATGCATTTTTCTTTTCACTTCCAATTCCTATTACTGTAGAGCAGGGCTAATCAAATAATTGCCTTGGACCAGACATAAATTCAAAGCCAATGTTGTTCAAACCTCTCCAAGATCCCTGAGAGTTCTTATCAGACTGATAGAGCCTCTGCTGATGAACAGTTTCTTGTAGGTCTATCTTAATGAAAACCAAGTAGATCCTTTCTGGAAAATTCCTCTCACTGACTCTACTAGTATGGGGAAAAGCAGGAGAAGAGAACTATAAGTAAGGAAGGCTTTTGTTACATTTTCTCTGTTCTGTGTGCATTCCACTGCTCCCTTTCTGTACCTTTTCTTTGGATAAGGTTAGTGGGAGGGCATCAATCCTAGGCTTTTCTGAAGAGGAAAATAAAACGTGGCACATGAGATGGGCAGCTCTTTCAAGACAGAGGTGACTTGTTAAGCTGAGAACACTTCAGCTGATGCAGGCAGCTCAGCCAATATAGACCAACTCATGGGACCAGCCAGCTGTCACAAGGTCAGTAGCAAAAGCAAACTGAGCTTGAATGATGGCTTTTCTTTGTTAGAAGGATACAAAAACAGAATGGAAAGGAAACTTCAGCAAATCTTAAGATTCAGGAAGCCTCCACCCAGCCACTCAACCTGAAGTCAGGAACCTCAGGCTTCCTGAGTGCACGACATGTTTTTGGAAGCCGCCAGTATGTGCGTAACATGTTTCTAGCAAATAATGTCCTCTTGTCTCATTTTTTTCTTTCAAGTCTGGACATTATTTCCCCATGAGAAAATCCCTAGGGCTACCAGCCTGACCCCTTTGAAGTTTTTTGTTTCTTCAGAGAACAGACATGGGAGATGAAACTCTAAGCATGGGTTTCCAACCATTTGGCTTGCCTGGGCTGCGCTGAGTGAAAAGGAATGGTCTTGGGCCACATATAAAATTATATAATATAGTTATGTATATAACTAACCAAACTTACTTTTAAAAAATATTTTTTGAATAAAACATAGAGGGCAACAAACACATAAATCTAGTGGGTTGGAAATGTGTGCAAGTCTAAAGGGTGAATGGACAGATTTGTTGGTACCTCTTGATCACCCTGCAGCTTTTTTTGCTGAGATTGAACAGGAAGATGCTGGTTAATGCAGGCTGATTGTACATTTTGTCAGTTGATGTTTGCCTCCTGTAAACCAGACAGGTGTTGCCAAAACTTCAAGGGCTTTTGATACGTGATGCTCTGGCCTGTACTGAAAGATGAGAAGTCAAGGTCAATACTGTATTTATTTTTTTTCTTTCACAGAAGATTCTGAGAGATACTAAATTTCACTTATTAATAGATTCAGAGACAGTCATATGTGTGATTGGAAACAGTATCAGAGGAAAGAATCCAGGCAATTGTTATTGATATTTAAGTTATTCACTGGAGAGAAAAAATTTTCCAGCATGCTGTTCCACAGATATGAAACTACTGAAATGTTGAGTTTGTCTAGATAACTCTCCTGTACAGCTTGTCATGCATTCTCTCCCTCTTCAGTTCCCCCATCATGTCTATAAGCTTGACCAGAGACCACAATTGCTATGATGCAGGCTGCATATTAGGGATGGCATGTGCTCATGCCATGCTGCAAGGGAATAAAAAATAACAGTTGACCTGTTCCTTGTAAGAGACACTAATTTTGTTGTTTCCTGCCCAGTTATAGCAACTATAGTAAAAAGCAGTAATTCTTGAAAATCTCAGCCTCTGTGTAATATTTGGAAGTACCTGTTGTACATAACTAAGGGAAACTTGAGTGGACAGGCAGAAATGTGAACAGTTTTTTGAACCTTCTTTACTTGAGAAAAGTAGGAGACTCCATCTGCCTGGCTGCTGGAGCCCATCTTGGTGTATCTGGAGTCCTAGGGGTCTTTGTCCCAGTCTGAGGGATACATATGCTGCTTTCCCATTTGTAGATTCAGTCAGTAGCAAGGCTGTGTGTGCAACTCAGAGGTGCACATGCAAACCAGTAAAGATGAAGTGTGATCTTCAGCTGCTCCCACGTGTAATGTTGTTGCGGTGAAGTGCAGACAACTAAGCCTCTTCCCTCCTCTTTGGAGAGAGGAGTTTGCTGGTGAAAGTGCTCATACAACGCTCTAGGTTCCAGAAGAACGCATGCACATTCATGGATTTCCTGAGTACTGTCACAGTCCTTGTCCCACCTGCCTCTCTTTCCCCAACCCTGGTCTTCCTACTTGCCAGTTAGCTTGTTTTAGATTGTTGCTACCCCATATTACTATTATCTTTGCACTGAGAAGGTGGTTGTCTGGATAATCTTAATGAAGCATATGCTCATCTTCCACATGCCCTTAAAATAACCAGCATGAAATTGTACCTAAGTATTTAAGTTACTTAGAATATTTAACCATCTTACTAGTGTGTTTTTCATTTTCATTGTTACAGGTAAACTACTGATAATGAATTCAGAGTCAATACACATAAGAACTGGAAGAGAGTCCTTTTAATGGTGTTTGTTCACTGACAGAAATATTGAAACATAAAATGAGGATAGTAATATGGAATCTCTGCCCACCTAACATCTGAAATTTGATCCCACTTGAAGGCCACTGCATTAATGGGAAATTACTGTTTTCTGTTTCTTCTTTGTGCTTGTGTAAATCTGGAGAAGGTCTGATGACGTTATTTTAAATAGATCTGGCCATTGCTGTCTGCTCAAGCTCTTTTAAAGGAGAACATTAATGTCACGGAACCTGAATGTGTACTGCACACAATGATGAAAGTTCTAACTTTCTCTTTTGCTCTTTGTTCTTTTGTGTTTGTTTTTGTTTGTTTGTTTTCCTTCTCTAGAGGCTATTCTTAGTTGCAAGCACAAATTTTCAAAAGGGATGAGTCTAAGGATAGAATGGAAGAAAATCCAGTCCCAAGAAGTTTCATTTGTTTACTACAATGGTGAATTTACAGGTATGGTACTACAAACTTGAACTAATGGATTAATATGTCATTCTCTTGCACAGATATCAGGTCTCCTTGGAAATTACATTAGGAAAATGACTGAAAAAGGATGGTCTTGACTTCTGTCCTTTTGATGAAAATAATGTTTCCTCAGGGGGAAAAAAAAGAACAGCTTTTCTTCAGAAAATTCTCAACATTTAGTTATGTTTTAAAGGAAGTTAAACATAAGAAAACTGGAGACAATCGACAGTGCATGTTCCTTGAGTTTTTTTTATAAACAAAATTACATTCAAACATAAGCTCGCAAAAAAACTGTTGAAAGCTCTGCACTCCTATCCAACAAAGAGGTTTCAGAAGCCTGCTGTAGAGCTAGGGGCTTAGATATGAATAATGCAACAATGTTTATATACATAAAATATAAACTCAGCAGTACATTTTAAATTATTTGTACTCTTTTTCAAAAGTAAAATTATACTTGTTTATACTTTGTTTAGAAGATTTACCTCAGCTTAATCTGTTGAAGAAAGCATGGTTCTTTGGTACCTTGTACGTGACAAGTAAAGCTTGAGAAGTAAAATAAGGCCACAGCAATTTTGTTAGTTTATAGAACTTGCAAGATGTGCTGGTCTTGTTGATGAACTTTTTTTTTCCTTGCATATGTTTCAGTTACAAAGACACTAGAACTCCTTGTTCTGTTTGTGCAAGTTTAATTTCATAACAAGCTGTTGAATGAAGAAAAGCTCATTGTAAGAAAACAGGCAATATCTTTGCTAAATCCATCATTTTTTTTCTTGCTAAGTTTAAAAGTCAAATAGTTTGTTGTAGTCTCACTCAGAATTCTTTTTGTAAGAGAATTAAATCAGTGATTGCCATCACTCCAATCACTCCGTCTTTTCTTTTTTCAGTCACATGACTAGTTCTATACATACTTTCTTGAAATGTCCACAGAAGGAAAAAAAAGTATTCTTGCAACTAGAAAGTGTTTGACACTTCAGAGTGACTTTTTCTGGACTAAATGGAGAATTCTGTGGAAGGTTCTTACTGTCTTGGGAGGGGGATTACATATTGCTCTTTGGTGAAAGATATCTAGCACTACATAAGTGAGCAATAGTTCATCATTTGTTTGGGATTTCAGAACTAGTCAATAAGAAACAGATATTTTCTGTAAGTGATGAACAGAAACCGCTTTATTCTTTCTTAAAGGTGATCTTAGAGACCGAGCAGAGATGTTGAATACAGGAATCCGTATTAGAAATGTGACTAGAAAGGATTCTGGGACCTACCGCTGCGAAATCAGTGCGAAGAGTGAAGAGGGGCAACGCCTGGGAGAGGCTTCTATTACTCTCACAGTATTGGGTACAAAGAAACTTTATCACTTAAATTTCTGTAAATAAATTCAATGATAGCAAAGGGTGTTACATGTATGATTGTCCACATAGGATGTAACTGTGGGATTTTTGGATCTTTCTTGGGTTGGGTAATATATATATATATATGTTCTTGTTTATATTCCCATTCTACAGTATTCAAAGAAATGCACAATCAGAAAGTACATAACTTATTTCTTTATTGATATGAATGTGTGTTTTCATTGTCAAAAATTATCAAGTATGATGATCAATGAGATGATGAAATACCCATTTCTACTAAAACTGAAGTTACTCAGTGGCTGGGAATCTGATCTTGTTTGACACTGGAAAGTCAGCATCTGTCAACACTTATCAAATATTCCAAAGCAGTAGTTCATTCTAATGTGCATTCTAATGTCTCCTCCTGTTTTTGGAAGGAGAAATTGCTGCAGTGCCTGCATAATGCCAGGTAGCAATCTGTAGACTTTATTTATAGGAGAGATGTTGTTTTTTTTATTATTCTTTGTGGGTTTTTTTCTTGCTTGTTTTTTCCCACTTGGGGAAAGAATGGAAAAATGAATATTGAACCCATTTTTTTTTCTACTGTTCCTCCTACTTTTTCCCAGTCAACAAATAGTAGATAGTTAACTTTTTTTTCCTCATGAGTAGGAAAGAAGTTCCTGTATTTTTTCAATAAAAAATTAATTGATCTCTTGAAATTAAAAGTAAAGTCTCAGAGTTCTTCATCATCTATCATCTTCAAAAGATGATAAATTCATGAGCTTCTGCATAGTTCCAACAATGAGGCAATATCACCTTTTCCTTCTTTTTTTTCCACTCTCTCAACACATAAAAGTGCAGCTTTCAAATTTAAATTTGAAATCTTGGAATCGAAAGAGAGTGGTGGTGGGTGATTGTGTGTCTCGTGCAGAAAAGTTTTGAACGTTTATGGAAGTTCAGTGGGTTTTATGTTTTGTTTTTAGAATTTTTGCTTTCTATTTTGAAGTCAGACAACGAAAAATTATGAATAGTTGTTAAGGTGTCACCCATGCTTTTAATATGCCTTGTTTTCCTCTTCACCATTAGTTTTCATCTGGATAGTTTCAAGGAACCAAAATAATAATAATAATAATAAAGTTCCTTTTCTGTTGATGTAATAAAAGTTGGAAAAAAGATCTTAATATTAATGACAGAGGGACCTGAGTTGTCCTGTATCTGTCATGCAGAATCTGATGCAAAACCTGACAGAAGTTTCTCTAAATACTCCAACAATACCTGAGGAAAGTTAGAATTGTTTCCTCGCTGATTCTCCCTGCTCAGAGAACTGTAAAAGAAAAATACTAAACAAGTACTTGACTAGGGGGGAATATTTTTTTTTCTTGTTTGTTTGTTTTGTTGTTGTTGTTCGGTTTTGTTTTTTTAATTTAAACTGAACTTAGTAGTCAATTGCCTTTCATCTTCTACCTGAGATTCATGCATTGGCTGTGATGATTGCTAGTCTTTGTCATTCTTTCTGACAATTGTGTTTCAAAAAACAGTAGAAACAAAACAAAAATCTTCTTATGCTTTCTCACTTTTGTTTTTTAAATGCTATTGAGGGGAAAAAAAAATCCTGGACTCCAGATTCCCTGAGACATCCCTTCTGCATCTGGGAGCAAGAGGCCCCACTGAATAAATGGGGTGGAACAAGTTATCTAGGATTTGGATGAATGTGTATAGATTGAAGACACAATAACACAGCATGTGGTGAGGGAGCCTAGGAGCAAACCTTTGCCTGCACTGGTTTTGTCAGCTTACATACCTTACAGTGCTCTTCAGTAGCAGAACTGATGCCATTTACCCTGTCTCCAGAGCCCCCATCTGTTAACGTGGTAGCTGTTGAGCATGTACACAAGTGTTCACCTCCTCAGTGACTGTCAAAAAGTTGTGAGATAGACAATACTGATAAGACTGTAACAATCACAGAATTGTTTTCCAGTTCCTCCTACTACTCCAATATGTGTGGTACCCAACTCTGCAATGACGGGAACAGTAGTGGAGCTGAGCTGTAAGGAAGCTGAGGGATCTCCTCCATCTGAGTACCAGTGGTACAAGAATGGTGTTGCCTTACTGGAAAAGACAGGAACGGGCAGTGCTAGAACAGCCAACATAACTTACACCATGAATAAAAAGTCTGGCACTCTGGTAAGTATAGTAACCAACTGTAATAAGGAGCTGTAGAGAAAACCAAATTTCTGTCCAGCACAGAAATGCACAGTGGCTTTAATCCAAGGCACAAGGTCTTTCTCAGAAATCAATGTCACGCTGAAATGTGATAACAAATTTATAGGGTATGGTTTCTGCCTCAGACCAATGACAAAACCATAGAGGTCGAGTGTGATAGGCAAAGTGGGTGACTTATAAGGCTGTAGTAATTATAAATGAGCAGAATCTAGCAAATAAATGACAAATTTCACCTTGTCGGTTAGCCAGCCAGCTCCAGGTGAGAATGATCCCTCAGTACATTGACTGAGTTATATTTGAGAATGCCTTAAAATCTAAAACAGCAGCTTCACACACTTCAGTGGGAAATGCAGCACCAAGGGCAGTTCAGAATCTCTGCAGTCCAGTGGCATTTAAAGGTCCCAGTCCTGTACTTGTATTGTCAGTGAGAGTGTGTCAACTTAGTGCATTTTCTGTTATGTTCCCTGTGAGAACTGGCCATCTTTTCCCCCTTCTAAAAGAAAAAAAAAAAAAAAAATCACATACTACTAAGCTGAGATCTTTACTTATTTATTTTTAGAAAAGTCATTTTAGGGACACTCTACTCTTGGAAATGATCATGTTTGGAAACCAGAATATGCCATATCACTTGTGCCTTTTCATTCACAGGTGCTGTAGGTATTTCAGCACACTGTGAGCTACTCAGAAACATTAATCTCTTCTTTACAATTATAGTTTTAATGTATAGGATATATTAAAGGGAGAACATTTAACAAGTCTGATTATAAAAATACTTACAGAAGAACATAGAAATTGATACAAGGTCAGCATCTATTTTCTGCTTTCTCACTGTAATTATTATGTTAGAACTATTTCATAAATAATGCAGTTCAGCATTTCTCCATTAAAATAATAGAGAAAGTGACATCTCTGGAAAAAAAAAAATCCTTGGGATGTATCTTTTGTACTACATTTTGTACACTCCATCTAGTAAAAATGCCCATCTAAAAGACTCTGATGTTTAAGTAGCTGAAGTTAAGATCTAGGGATATGAGTAGGTAGCAGGATCAAGATGAACATGAGAGCAGAAGTTCTCACTTTCTTTCAGATTTTGGGGGGAAAAGGTATATGTTGACATGTCAACATTTCTATGTTGGTTTTTTTTTTGTTTTTGTTTTCCCGTTCTGATAATGTTTTGGACTCTGTCTTAACAGATATTTAACACTGTTTCAAAGAACGACACTGGAGAGTATTTCTGTGTAGCCTCAAATGGGATTGGATTACCTCAGAAATGCTCCATGAAGCGAATGCAAGTTGGTATGTGTCAGACTAAAAAGGGGCAGAAACCAGTCTTGCATCTGAACTGATTTAATTGTGTGATACAGTTGAGAAACTAATATTGAATTACAGCCTTTTATTTGATTATGGTATTATGGGGGAGGAATAATATTCGTATACTAGGGCACCTTACATGTAGTGAGGGTGACTGCGTTACTTATTGTTCTGTTTTTCTCTGTTTGTGTGTGACTGTATTTTACAGAAAAGCAGTTAGTTGGGTATTATTGCAGTATCCAGCCCTAAATGTTGCTCAGCAGTGAACGTCACATAACCACAGTGTCCATCTGAGAACCTTAATGCTCCAGAATGCTTTTATGGACGTTGTACAGCATAATGTAACAGTCCACTGTTAGTTTATCTGTGGAGTCTTATGGGATTTTTTGTTTGTGAACTAGCAGCCTCCCAAGATTTTGAGATGCATTTGTGTGAGATCATTTTATAACAGATCAGAATTTAAACTGAAAATAATTTGATACTTGCCAAAGCAACACTAAAAAGAGTCAGTGTATCTTCAAAAAAACAAAAACAAAACCCACCAACAACCCTGCATAGAAGCTCTGCTATTTCATGTTAAAGTATTCCTTAAAGCAGTTATTTGGTTCTCTCTTAGAATTTAGTTGAAAATCACTATATTAAAGCTTTTAATGTATAGAATACCTGTTATAATCAAGTAGAAATGTACTACCAAGATAGATTTTCCCCTGATGTGAAAATATTCACCCAAGTGAATTGTGCTCTGGTTGATCACAAAAACCTTTGGGTAAGATTTAATCTGTGTATTTATGTCTTGAAGTCAGGATCCAAATAAGTAATTGGTCTTCTACATAATGGTAATATAACAATGATTAAATAACAAAAAGATCAATCAAAATGTTTCTGCTTATGGCTTTTTTTTTTTTTTTTTTCCCAAAGTGGATTATTACCCCAACAGATTTAATCATGAAATAGGAATTTTTATGAAGAAATAGGCATAGGTTGTCATCTTAAAAAAAAAAAAAAAAAAAAAAAAAAAAAAAAAAAAAAAGGCTCAACTTCAGTAGCCCTGTGTAAAATTTATATATATTTGCATTTAGTGCATTGAATTTTAAAAGCCTTGCTGTTGAAAAATAATTTTTAAAAATCCAATTTTAAATAACCTGCCAAAAGAGTTCTTCATGACAGATATGACCATCATCAGCTGTTTCAGTTATTTTAGGCAAACTAACAGTTGTTTAAATAGACCAAAGGAACATATATTGAAATCTTTAAGAGACAGAAATGTTTAAGAGCCTCAATAATACTTATGCTGAATAGGCAGAACAAGGAGTTTGTGTCCCTTGACCACTCTCTTTCCTTACTTTTTGACTCAGAGGAAGGATTTGAAGTGTATCAAGCATACTGTTAACATGGCTGCGATACGTTAATCCTTTTGAACACCTTATCCACATTTGGGTGGTAGGTACTAATTTATAAAGCTTAGGTCAAAGCCCACTCATAAATACAAAAGGTACCTGCAGTAATTAGGAAAAAAAAAAGTCCATCTAATGGATATTTTTAAAACGTAAAACATTGTATTTATCTTTTATAATTACAGATGACCTTAATGTAAGCGGTATCATCGCTGCTGTAGTAATTGTGGCTTTGGTGATGGCACTGTGTGGCCTTGGAGTACTTTATGCTCAAAAAAAAGGGTATTTCACAAGTAAGTACAATAAAATCACTCTTTGGTTTAAAAAAAAATAAAACAAAACTATATTTCTGCTGATTGTAACATGTACTTCTCACACTTTACTTTCATGGTACTATAGCTAAAGAGTGTTATTATAGCAGCAAATTCACTGTGCATTTTTATTCAGCCTTCTACTGCAGAGGATACTTTAAGAATGAGATGGAGGCATTTGTACAGTGCATAAGGCTAGCAGACAGCAATCTAGGAAAAGCAGCAAGCAAAATCCTGGTTTCTACAACTTCTGCTGTAGTTTTGAGAGAGAATTGGGAAAGAAAGATACTGCAAAAACAAACCATTACAAGGTTACTTGTAATCCATGAAGAGTTTTTTTGTAGCAGCTGAGTTCTGGAAGGGGAACTAACTTACTTACTCCCTCTTCTGGTTTGTGGTGAAAGTGCACGTAGTGAAACTCCAGAGGATTACCTGCAAAAAGCTCAAGCCCAAGAAATCTACCTCTAGGTAGCATTTGCATCAGTACCTGTAAAGTTCAGCACAGCAATAAGGGATCACAAATGTCAGTCTGAGAAAGCCTGCTGCCCGAAAGTAACAGACCTGATATCAGCATCCCTATTCATATAGAATTTAAATTACCTTTGAAAGCCACCTAATATTTTTCTGTTTAAATTCACACTACACTGAAATTTCACTTAGCAACTGAAGCTGAGTAAATATTGCAAAGACCTTTATGGAAACTACTCCTGTGCTCATTTTTCTTTCTCTTCTTCTTCTTCTTTTTTTTTTTTTTTTTTTTTTTTTTTTTTTTTTTTTTTTTTTTTTTTTTTTTTTTTTTTTTTTTTTTTTTTTTTTTTTTTTTTTTTTTTTTTTTTTCTTTTTTTTCTTTTTTTTTTTTTTTTTTTTTTTTCCAGAGGAGAGCTCTTCCCAGTAAGTACCTTTTATATTTTATCCACGTCTCTGTAAACTTCATTTTCATCCTGATGATTTAGTAACTGTGATGTTTGTTTAAGGACTTTCTTTCATACAGTGACATCTTTGAACACTGAACCCTTTGCTTTTAAAAGATTATTGGAGCACTTTTAGATAACAACATGTAGAAGAGCAATGTGCTGAAGAAAAATTCCACTTTAACATACAGTACTGCTTATACTGGTTGCTAATTAGACAAAGTGTACCTGGAAGGCCTGAAGGGACAACTTAGGGAAAGCAATGTGGCTGTGGATCCTGAGCTCATGACAGCTATCTAAAAGCATCAAGTGTATTTGTTACAGATTTTATACTTCTTACTAAGATGGAAAAAAAACCTAAGGATTGATGAAAATCAGAACAAACACAATCATAAAGTTTTCAAAGGGCCAAAACAAGCACCTTTTTAACCTAATACCCTTTTCTGTTCTATTAACAGGAAGTCCAACTCTCAATCTACAAGTGAAAAGGTACATTTAGTAGCGTGTGTACATTTTCAGCATGCATTTTGTTATCTAGTATGTAGATAAGAGGCCAGCTACCTAGCTGCTTTGAGTGGGAAGGAGCAATATTAAGGCCCTTCTTCATCAGATGCTCAATAGATGCCACTACTTGTATCTTTTAATAGAATATCACTTATATTTTGTGTAACAGTATAAATAAACTTACAGTGTATCAGTCATGCTCCTTTTTGGTTTGCATGCCTGAGTTTCTTCTGAAATATAAATTGTTACTGTAGTTAAAATACTTGAACTATTACTTATGTGACCTTGCTTGTTTCATTTAGGATTTCAAGCACACCAAATCCTTTGTTATATAGAAGATTTCAGCCTCTGTGAGGGACATCAAACAACTACTTGTTATACAAAAATATCAAAGGGATTTTTTGACCTCTACTCTGTAAATACTGTTTCCATGTACTATGCACTGAAAATAGAAATCGCTACTGTTTAGATCTAGTCAACTTAATTGTGTATGATTGTTTTTTTTTTTAACCAACCACAAAACTGCTTAACTTAAAGATGCAACTAAATGGAATACACAGGTCAATTTGTGTGACTTCTCATTTTGGTGACGTATACATGCAGCAATACAGGATTCACTCTTGCAGCTTGGAATAGTCTATCCAAATAACTTTCGCAGATGACCTCCACCATTGTCAAGGGCACAAACTCTCCTGTAACGTTGACTTCATTCTTACTCATGTCAGCATTATGTTAGGTCTGACAGAGTCATCTAGAAGTGCAAAAGTAGTTGCCCAGACTTTAACTCACTATCCAGCCAGGACAAAGCTGCTTCTAATTGAGGCTCAAGCATCGTTTTATTGTCTAATATAAAATGCCTACAGCATCTCTTTTACAAGGAAGTACCTCTTTCTGTAGATCGCATATGTTACTTGCCAGTACAACTACAGTTGTAACAGCTGGACCCTAAATGTTAAAGTATTACAAATAAATAGTTCCTCAGAGCTTTAAGTGTTTGTGTCAGTAGTTCTGTTACTGAAGTTTATTCCCTACAACATCAGTAACAAGTTTCAGTTGTTCCTGTAAGAGCATCACTTATGTGTTCATTGATGTAAAATGAAGTATTTATGCCTATGCAGAACTATCACCTCCCTTGGGCTTTGCTACAAATTTAGAATTGTTTTCTGAATTATTCTTGCAGAAACTTGAAACGTTAAAAACTGGGGAAAATAAAGTTTCTTCTGTATATATCACTCAGTTTTATAACTTCTCAGCACTGAAACAGTTTACCAAAGGGGTTAGCAGTTGAGAGATATGCTATTCAGATACCTTCAGAAGCACACAGTCAGAGCTAACTAGAATCCCCATGCGCTTGCGAACTTGTTCACACTTCAGAAATCAAACTGAAACACTGCATTTATTAATTTACAACTGTTGCCATATTCAGCATCAGGGCCAGCTGCAGGCTCATGCGGTTGTTGGATGTATGCTGTTGTTTGGAGGACGATATAAAGAAATCACTTCGGAGTCTCCTCAAAGTTAGGCTCTAAAGGAGAAAGAAGGAAGCCGAGAAAGATGTTAGTTTTTTCTTCTTCCAGCCTAAAACACAACTATTCATCTCATATTCAAAGAAAACTAAACATTAAGCTATTCACAGCTTAATGGCTATGGTAGCAATGAGGGCTACAGGTGTGGCAGCTCTAAGAGCCCAAACATAGGTAAGAGCCAGCTCCAACTGGCTCTGAAAGGGACTCACTGGGTGTGTCTCTGGGACAGCAAATTTAAAAAAGGGAAAAACTGCTGTTTTGAGAGGAGTGAGAAATGTGAGAGAAACAAACCCTGCAGGCACCAAGGTCAGTGCACAAGAAGGGGCAAGAGGTGCTCCAGGCACACAGCAGAAGCTCCCTGCAGCTCAGGAGAGGCCCATGGTTGAGCAGGCCATTCCCCCCCCTGCAGTCCATGGGTAGTGTTTGCAGCAGATTTCCACCTGCAGCTATAGAGGGGCCCTTGATGCAGCAGCTGATGAGGCCTGGAGGGGGCACAGTCCACAGACAGCCCCCCACAGGAGCAGTCTGGGGCTGAAGCCCTTGGAGAGGAACCCATAGTGGAACAGGGATGGGGGAGCTGCCACCTGTGTAGACCACTGTGGTCCTGAATGGCAGGCCCTGTGGTACAGAGCCATGCTAGAGCAGCACTTGGAGAACTGCAGCCTGAGGGAAGCCCATGCATGATCTGTCTGGGAAGGACAGCATCTCATGTGAGGGACTCATGAAGGGGGCAGAATGACCACGGAGAAACAACAGAGAAAAAAAACATGGACTGACCACAGCCTTCATTCCCCATTCATTTGTGCTGTCTGAGATGAGGAGTTAGAAGAGGATGGACAGGGAAAAGTGTTTTTAGTTTGCTTTTAGTTTTCACTAATCTGTTAGTAATTAGTTTTCTAGTCTGTTAGTAATTACCAATAAATTACAGTCAGCTTTTGCACATGACTGTAACTGGTGAATGATTTATCTCAACCCACAAGCTCCCCACCCTGCAATCATATTTTCATCCCATCCTTCTAAGGAGAGTGAGTGCAAGAGCAATGTGGTGGTGCTGAGTAGCCCACTGGTTGTTACACCACCACAGCCCATTAAAAGCAACGACTGCACTTTGAAACAGGTCTTATCCACCTTAAGTGTTATGTATGTTAGCTTTAAGAAAGACACAGCCCTTGGCAGCATTCTACTGCAATGTCTTTTATCAACACCTGAGGTGTTAAAAAAGGCAGTTGAGAAACTGAAGAAATCAGTCAGAATATTAGTACATGTTGGCCAGTATTTCCAACTTAGCTTTCAAACGAGAACTAGTAACTAAGCTCTTCTTTCCTCTTTGTTAGTGTCACATAGCTGATAAAGCAAATGGAGTGCACATTTTCAACTACATACAGCAAAAGATAATTTCCACACTATAGAAACCATGAGAACTTAATTCCTGATGCCAGAAGTACAAACTCAGAAGAGCTGGGGGTTTTGACAGGTGAGCTAGTGATGCTTGTTCACTTTGATACAAGAAGTCTGAAAGTTAAAGATTCTGTATATAGGAATCTTCACTTAGACAAAAGTATAAAGAATCTAGCCACAGTTTTGAAAACCTGTTGATTCTAGATTAAGGACAGACAGAGGTGGTAAAAGCACCAGGGTAAAACAGTGCCCACCCATGTGACTGTTCTGGTCCTGTTGTCACACAAATTGTTTCATTCTAAAAAGAACCCCCTAAACTTTAGTACTACTGTTTGACATATTGCATAGAAATAAAACTGAATATTAATAAACCATGCCCCTAGGCCACTTTAAGTCCTCCTATATAGATGTTTCATTTTATTTGTGCCACTAAGAATTTGAGGCCAAATCCTTTCTTAATCCAGCTGAAATACCACCAAAATAACTGAGGTGAGTTCCTGGTCTAAACTAAATTTCTAGTTAGCCTGATCAGAATGACAGCACTGACTGCGGTGGGTTAACTGTGGTTGGCTGCCAGATGCCCCAAACTGTTTACTCCCTCCTTCCCCAACAGAGGAGGAGAAAACCAGATTTAAAAGCTTATGGGTGAAGTTAAAGAAAAAATTGCTTATTAATTACTACCCCATACAAAACAGACTCAACTTGCGGAAGATTAATTTACTGCCAATGAAAATTTGAGTAGCGATGAACAAAAACAAAGCAAAAACACCTTCCCTACATATCCTGTCTTCCCAGGCTCACTGTCTCTCCTTTGTTTCTAATTCGTATGCATCTCTCTCCTTCTTCACTGTGTCAGCAGGGTTGCTTTCTCACATCTTTTCTCCTTACTCCTTTCACAGCTGCTGCAGGGTTTCCTTTTACTGTTTACTGAGTGCCTTAATACAGAGGTGCCATCAGTGTCACTGTGGGCTTACCTCTGTGCCATGTTGTGTCTGCTGGAGTCACCTGCTACCATGTCCAACACGGGCACAACCCCTGGTGTCCTCACTGAGGCCACCCCAACAGTGCTTCTGCTACCAAAACCTTGCTATATAACTCAAGTCACTGCTACCCACTGAGTCCCAGCTACCAGCTGCTTACACCTTAGGGGAAAGACAATTTACCACCCCCACCTGACTTTAGATAAAGCTGCTTGTGAGCAGTAGAGATTTTGAGATGTACTTGCTTAAGTAAGCAAGAGAAACAACTAGATGAGCCTGTCATTAACAAAGGTTAAGTTTGCCCTTACGTCCTAAGGAAGGGAGAGTTGGTGCAGTCCCTTTGCATTCCACATGAACCAAACATGCCAAGAATTCTTCTCACACTCAGTCTAGGTAACATAAAAACATTCCTTTGAATGGGTTCAAAACATTTCTTTGAAAGGGTTGATAACTGCAGGACATGGGGAAATGGTTTTAAGTTGAGGGAGGGGAGATTTAGGTTGGATGTCAGGGGGAAATTTTTTACAGAGTGGTGAGGTACTGGAACAGGCTGCCCAGAGAGGTTGTGGATGCCCACAAAAGGTCAGTTGGTGAGCATGACCCTTCTTCCAATCAGAAGTTCAGTACCATTGTTAACTCACCCTCAAATTTGAATTCTGGAAACTTGGTTAGATCTCCCTCTCCATACATCCGCTGAAGCCTGGCAAGTGATTCATTCATGTCTTTCTGAAACTCGGGGCCTACATCAACAGGCCCTCCAGCTTGCCTAAAAAACAAACAAACAAAAAAGTTCCAATTAACAGTTCAGTTCTGAAAGTTTATATGGAAGTTCTACATTTTCATAGTGATTTATGGATCACCATTTTGACAATCAACTAAAGCAAAAAAATCAAAACATTTTCAAAAGTTGAGATATGACACACCTTAAGGCCCACTTACCTTACAATTAAAGGTTCTCAGAATGGGTTCTAAAGAATGAGCTTTTTGCTGTGATTAATGAAATTCCAAGCTACAGAGGCAGCCTTTGGAGACATAAAACCATGCTGAGTATCTAGATTTGCAGGACTCTGGAGTTTCACTTGTTCCAGGTTTGACTTCTTGACAAAACTGTGATTTGTACCTCTGTTATTTCTGAATTAATGATCATGATTTGAATATTAAATAAGAAAAAAAAAAAAAAAAAAAAGAACAAGAAGCAGAGGGACGCTTAATTCAATTGGACTCACACAAAGATTCCTGGGGATACACATATAAAATAGTTACAGCAGTAACTCTGTAGATTAGTCACCATCCATGGTGTGCTCAGTGCCTTTTAACTCCTTATGAAAAAAGACATCAAGGTCTTTTTTGTTTGCCTTTTTTTACACATCTTCTGCCAGGTTCATAAGGCCAAACCTTTAACTTGTGGCAGTATCAGTAGGTGCTGCAGGAAAGCAAGAGTTCTCTTTCACAACGGTCTCAAGGCAGAATTAAACCCACTTTTTTGTGAGCAAGCAAGCAAACTTGTTTCAGAGCAAACAACGAGCAGCGTTTTTAACCCCTCTACCATCCGCTTTAAGGTAACCCAGCGTACTTACTTGCTTTTTGTGTTGTACTCCCTGATCTTGTCCAGGAAGAGCTTCTGAACCGGATCGAGCTCTTTTGCCTTATTAAAGGCAATGGCAGAGAAACCGATGTTTCTCCGCAGGTGAACGGAGACAGCGGAGCGAAAAAGGGAAGAAAGTCGCAGGATCTGATGCAGGATCATGACGGCGCCGACGTTTTACTTTAAAACAATCAAACAAGCAAATAGAACGTACCAAAAATGACGCCCTTCCCTAACATAAGCCGCCTCTCACCCAAACCGACAGCCCCGACCCACCTTTGCGGAGCCTCAGTCACCTTGGGGCGGGACGCAGCGCGCATGCGCAGAGACCCGCCCTCCCGCGCAAGGCATGCCGGGGCTCCGCGCGGCCTACTTCTGCCTTACCTGGACCCCCACAGCCACGCGCAGTTCTCGTGAGGGACAGCGTCCGCGGTACAGCCCCGACCAACCGTCCGCTGGGCTGGGAGAGAGAGAGTAACGGACAAACGGCCGCCGGCCCGT